ACTCGTCCATCCGATCATGTCAATATTGGTATCACACGCAACAGCATCGGTAATGTTCATCAAAATAAAGATGATCGTGGTCGAGCACTCGAATCGTACAATCGAGCCGTGTCACTCTTCAAACAAGCACACGATGAGAATCACCCGAAGATGCCTTCTTTTACAACAACATTGGCTTAATCTATCAAGAAGAGAAGAAGTATTTTGAAGCGCTCGACTTCTATGAGAAGTCACTTGCTATTCACGAGAAGCATCTACCACCGGATCATCCTGATTTGGGTGGATCGTACAACAATATTGGCGTTGTTCATCGACGTCTCGGTCATTATGATCTCGCATTGGATCATTACAATCGATCACTTAAAATCAAATTGAAGTCACTTCCTGGTCAACATCCAGATATTGCAATGACCTACTTAAACATGGGTGTTGTGTATGCATACAAGAATGAATTAGAACAGGCATTGATATATATGAAGAGGGCTCAGACAATCTATGAAGTAGCATTACCATTTAATCATCCTGATATAGTAAAGATAAAGGATGATGTTAACAGAGTAGAAGATAATTTTTAAAAAAAGAATAAGAAATAAAAGAAAATTAAAAACTAAAAACTAAAAATTAAAAATTAAAAATTAAAAATTAAAAATTAAAAATTAAAATTAAAAAATTAAAAATAAAAAGTAATAATGATAATCTTGGATCTATTCGTTCTTCTTCTTTTTTTTTGTTCTTTTAAATTTATTAATGGAGTCTCTTCCCAAAAAGTGAGATATTGTAAAAAGATGTGCAAAATCGATGCTACTCTATGAACAAAAAACATTGCCTCGAAGAGCGAAGCAAAAGTGAAGACCGGGGAGGGGGGGGCGGGAACACATGGTTTTCGAGGATCAATATGAGATGGGGTAAGAAATTATAATTTTGTTTTAGATGAATGAATTATTATATAAATTTTAAATGTCGTAAAATCAATTGTATATCCTTCGAACATTCATTTAGTAAAAAAATTGAATTATACAATTAAGCACATTTGTGTATAAAATTATTTATTTATTTTTGAAATATATTTTACATAGAAAAGAAAATTCAAACGACAAACATGGTATCATTATTTTTAATTCTTGAACTAATTAGTGTACAACTATGCTATCAAAAAAAATTCATATAAATATAATAACACTTCAACAATTGATACTTATAAAAAAAAATTATTATTTGAGATCAGTTTTACACAAAAAAATTCTTAATATACTAATGTCAAGCAAAAAAAAGTAAATACAACTACCATAGCCAACAACGTGTTAATGTTACCATAAATGCACCGTGAAAATTTTATTAAGAATGAATAACAAAAGATTTTTAAAAACTCATTAAAAAACGAAATTGATTAAATGTTTTACTATCACAAGAAATATAAATTATCCACCACTTGAATTTTAGTTAGAGGGGGTGGAAGGGGTATAAAATTATAACCTCTGTTATACACCACATAAACTATCCACCACTTGAATCTTGGTTAGAACTGACAGAAGGGGTGAGAACTAAGAATACTGTATCTAGAGTTTTACAGTTTTGATTGACTCGACGGACGGCAGTTGCAGAATGCCTGCCAAACAGAATTCAGAATTTTGTAGACTTTTATATATTTTTACAAGGAAAGGCGTACATTATGCATAATAAAATTATAGAGAATTCTATTATATGAAGAAGAATTTGTATAAAATGAGGTAAAGTGATGACTTAATGAAAGAACTCTAATACGATGGTTTATATTTTGAACAGCCCACATGTAAACAGGTAACGTTCATCGAGAGTCGATTCGATTTACCTTAGATAAAGGGAATGGTCTGTAAATTTAAATTAACCTGGCTGCATCTCTCTCTGTGTATCACAGTAACTATATGATATCAATGGCACAAAGGACCGCATATGAGACCTATAGAATCAAAGATGTGCCCCAAAGGAATCAAAGCTGCCACGAATGATAATACACTCTAAATAAAAAGTGTTTCCCCAGAAACCAAAATTCCTTCGGAAACCCTTTCGGAAACTCACAAACGTATCCGGAAAGATTTTCGGCTCTAAGCTGAGTTTTTGAAATCGCCTTATAGGTTTTCGAGAATTCGGATAGGAAACCTTTAACAGTTCTCTCAGAAACCATCATACAATTTTTGAAGCCCAAAAATTATCCTCGGGAACCGTTCTTGTTTTGAAAACCTTTCGCAGAAACGTAAAGCGTGCCGTCAGAAGCCTATCGATTTTCGACAACTTTTTTTTCGGGAACCTTTTGGATTTCTGGGGATCGGAAACGTCGAAAGCGTATGCCAGAATACCAGCTTGGTTTCGGAACAAATCTCGGAAACCCTTTCAGATTTCCAAATTATTAGAAACCTATGAGTTTCCGAGAAAATTTCTCTGAAACCCATTAAACATAGTGGGAAACCGAACTAGTATTAAAATTTCATCTTTTCATTTTCACATTGTTATTGTATACTTTGCATTTTTAGGAGTTACTCGGTAGCTATAACAGAAATCGTCTTTTGCAAGAGAATTTTGTCTTATTTTTTCATTCCTAGTTGTATACAGTTGTAAATATATAAAATGATGAATTTTACTTTGAAACTTGGTACACTTCACTAAAACATCATTCCATTCAAGAAATTTCGCTTTTCTCCTTTCTTTTTATTGAATTAAGTTTTGTTCATTGTTCAAACATTACTATCTTTGAAAACATTGCAGTGAAGCACGGGAACTTCTTATGCTTAAAGATACTTTTAACTAGTAGTAGCTGTCATGTAGTTTGAAGTAATTAGTCTTATTAGCTCAGATAATTCACATTGAGCTCCTTGAAAGAGTAAATTAACATCTATTATGAAAAAAATTGACGCCTTTTTGTTTTAATCCTTTTCATGTATATTCTTATTTAACAGGATAATTTATTCAACTTCTCCAAAATGTCTCTATGCTTTCGTAAACAAGTCAAAAATACTTTTCTTCCACCTGCAAATTAATCAATGAAATTCCAATAATTTATAACTATCTCTTATTTTCTCTTGATACATTTTTATTTACCAAAGAAGACTTATGTCTATCAAATGTACCAAAACACAAATCTTTCCTGAATTCGATTTGTGACAAAAAGAAATAAAGGTAGTTTTTCAAGCACTCTGATATTGTTATCCAAACTAAGATGCGTGTACTCAGTACATGAAAACTACTAAAGATTCTACTTTTTATTATTATAGATGAATACTTTGATCCACTTATGTGGAATGTAGATGATGTTTCAGTTTGACTACATAAGTTTAATTCGAATGACGATATAGTTAATGATTTTAAAAGTAAGCTGTTTAAAATATCTACCGAAGTTATTCTATGATCACATGATCACCAGTTTTTACCATTTTATTCCTTTATCTCAATCCTTACTGTTAAAAAATTAGTTTTTAATTAGCATCGTCTATTGAAACACATATTTCTTCAAATATTTTAGTATTCATACATTGCGATTAAATTTATTTTATGATTTCAGAGGGCAGCTCAAACTTACACATTAATGGTCAATTTTTATCTTATTATTATATTGAAAGAGAAACATTTCTAAATATGTCATGTAGAGATTTTCATATTCATTTTTTCCATTTTGATGTATGCAATGAATTCTGACGAAGTATTATATTCGCAGATCTCGACTGATCGCAGAAGTTTGGCTTAGAGACTTGAGGACTCTGACGTTAGCAAGCACCCTGACTTTTATAGATAGCGAGAGTGTGGCACTATAGGGTTCGAATAGGCATCGGAAGTTTTAATTGGAAGACTGTTATGTCAGGAGATATCTGTCTTGCCATAAGTATGTTCTCTCTTCATCTCTCGGTTTCATTCTATCACGTTTACAATCATTTCATTCTCTTCTCGTATCTATTCTATTTAAGTGAGTGTTAATGTTTAAAGAAAGGGAATTATTTGCTTGTGAGAATGTAATAATAAGAAGAAGATTGTAATGAAGACCTTCTGAGTAAGACTCAATTGAGGACTTCGTGACTACGATGGATTTGAGAAGACTTAGATGTCTGTTGTTAAAATACTATTCATAACGAAAACCGAATTTGGCAATGTCGGATACCTATGTAAATCGGTTGCTGATGTGTAGCAGTGGAAAATGTTTGAAAGGTTTCCGATATTTCGGAAACTTTCAATAGATTTTTGGGATCGCCAGCCTGCTTGATTTCTTGTGAGGGTTTCATATAGTGGCAAATCCGGCAACCTCCTATTCGTTTCCCAGAAAACGGATTTTATTTAGAGTGTAGAGATATGGCCGTTGAAACCTGCAAGTTCTTTTGTAAGATATTGAACAACTTGGAACACTTTATTCCATCGATGAACTGCTAGTTTCACGAGTATTCGTTTCATCTGTAAAACAAATACAGCTATATATTGTGTAGTAATGATTCAAAGTCTCATTTCATCGTTTTCAATAATCACTACTTGATAATGTAAAAAAGTTATAAAATAAGAACTACGGAAGAGAATGCTGTCAATTTTACTTACAACTACTTTTCATTTCCTAATATTAACACATGAAAAGCGTCCTATGAGACACGAAAAAGAGATGCTCAGCTTATCCTACCGTCATCGTCAATTAATTCTACTTAATGAATGAAAAGAAGAGGATCAAAACGAAATTGCAAGATTTCAATATTATCAATCAATGAAAACAAAAAAACAAAACACTGATTCTTGTCGCTTATATCTATATGATATAATTTTAACACAACATAAAATTCTAATTGAGGACAAACACAAAGAAAAATCTGACAACGAAGACGACGAATAAATTTTCAATCTACTGCTCATATACAAATACTTCACAAAGTACAGCAGTAAATAGTTTATTCCAATGATTACTAGCACCGTCTGCTTCAATATAAACAAAACGTCCATGTAATGGACGTTGACATTGAAAATGTAAACGTGATGATGATATCAATGCTTGATCAGTGCGTGTTATATACGAACATAAATTAGTATTTTTAAAACGATATCGGCGTGGATATTGATCAACGTAAACATTGTATCGATCTAAATTTGCTAGGTAATCTCGATACATTGATGATGATACATTCGATTCTAAATAACGAAACAAAATTCAGTAGAATGCAATGATTCGTTTTTCCCTGTTACCTTTATTTTCATGCCATGTTTTTAACATGACACCAGCAATATTTGTTCGTCGACCTAAATCAACCATCCAAACAGGTTTTTTAACAAAATAATTATCAATCGTAGCACATTTTGACCATTCTAATGGCTCTTCAAAACCATCAACGGCTAATGATGGATCACCATTGGTTTCTCTGATACTACGAAATTTAAATCCGCCAACACCATTCTTTTGATGGTGACGATTTCGATCGTTTGTCCATGTTTGTTTCTTATGTGCCATGTTTTCAACTACAACAAAAATTTAAATAAAGAAATTTTCATTTCAATTCTACATACTGCATTGAGCTTCACTATTCACGCGAAAATAACCTGGAAAACAAGCAGCTAAACATAAGAAACAAAAATTAATTTGATACAATTGAGAACAGAAAAAAAAACCTAATAAAACTTACCTTTATGTGGACATCCAAGAATAGCTGCGCGCATACTAACATGATTATGCCATTCAATCGGATGCAAACGAACATATCGAGCAAAGAAAGGTTCATTTAAAAAATGAATACGTTCGCTATCACGATCATTATTTCCAGCAAATACCTGCATATATGACCGAAAAAAAAAATATTGATAATTTTATCTTTTAGGATCTTCACGATAAATCCTAACCCTTGGTTCAATCTGTGATTTCTCTTTGTAGTAAAGCCATAGACGAGTATCATTTGAAAATGAAGCTTTATATTTTGTAACCCATTGATCTTGGCTAGTATCACCTCGGCCTTTCGTTATCAACGATGTAACAGTAGATGGATGTCCCAAATCAAACTCAAGCCATTGATCATATTCTAAAAACGAAAGCAAACATCTTCATTTAAAGCCATCGAGCAGTCAAATTAAACTAACTATATCTTCTCTTTGAACACCATCCTTTATTGCTCATAATATAACCATCTTCAGGTTGGCATGTAGCACGTTGACGAGATGGCCATGTTGTTGATGCACTTATTCTTCCATAGGGTGGTAAACCCAAATATTGTTTGCATTCTACGGAATACAGATTGTTTCTTTTTGTAAAATTCAAAAGAAAAACTCAATTCATACCTTGACAGCCGATAATTTCTACTCGTAATGATGGATGTAGATGCCATTTAATTGGATGAAATTTAATAAAACGCGCAACTATAGGTTCATCGAAATAATTATTATGAATAGAATACGAATCGATATTAGCCGAAAACATCTAAATACAAAAGGCGAACAGATAAAAAAAACTTCTATCTAATCTTATCGTTGTTTTGTCTATGAAGATCATACCTTTTGATTTCCATATTGATCGACAAGATACTGCCATCGATATGCATCTGTACTGTATGATATCATAAATGATGTAACATGTTCATTTTTATTCGCTCGACCTTGAGTTAATACACCTGATATCTATGATTACAACAACAACAAAAAATTGTTCATTTTTTTCCTAATGAATTTATTTTCTACTCACTTTAGCAGCAATACCTAAATCAATTTGTAACCATTCTGAATCGGATTTATGTCGTGCACACCATGCACGATCTGCGGTTTGATATAATCGTGCATTTTTTTCATGACAATCTGGATCCCAAAATGTTGACGACGCTGTTATTTGCCAATCACGTATTTCACCACTAATCATGCCCAATGGACCATTACATACTTGAAATTAAAATTTGGTTTAAACAAAAAGAACTATTAATTCAAAGACGTGGCTTTTTTCTTACGTTGAGTACCAGCATCGACATGAATCGAATTCCATAGGATAAAAAAGTACAATATCATTTTCAGTCTTGTACGAACTTTAATCATCTAAAATAAAAATTTGAAGAAAAAAAACTCGACTAGACACTTATTTTATAATTATACTGGCATAAAATAGTGACATTGCAATTAGACGTAAAATGTCTCTCTCTCGAATTTCGTAGCTATATTGTGATAAATATACAATAATTATACTCACGCATGTCGCGACGTCTGACAAATGAACAATATGGGTCGTTTTTCTTTGTGTATTCTTTGAATAGAATGATAGTTTCGGTTTCTAATAATCAAAAACAAATGTCAGGGTCAAGGTAAGTCATTTTATATTTTCAGTCAAGTATCCTATTTCAATTGTTATTCATATACGTAGATGAATCTTGATATTCCTCGTATCGGTTTGAGACGAGAGAACAAAAGAAAAGACACTAATAGATAGCTATGATATTACGAGAAAAGAAAACGAAATAACAAATTCAACCCCAGGATGTAGAGTGACTTATTCCCTGCTGTCGATTTGTCAAGTGAATGATGATTGCATCATCTAAATGCAATTCAAATGAACAGAGTAAAATGCATAACCATTAAGTGAATAACTTTATGCAAGATCCTTGAAAAAGAAAAGAGAAAGAAGTTTTCTTTCTTCATCGATGGCCTTTCAATAAATCTCAATTCTTACTTTATAGGCGATTGTACACAAAATAAACAAGATTGCCATTGTATTTTTCTAATCGTCTTACGTTAATTTCATCTGGTTTCTATCACTTTTATTGACCATCGTCTACTATCTTTATGTTTCATTTGTCTCACTACTAAAAGCTCGTTGACAGGACAGAAAGATTTTTATTTTTATTTTTGATTAATGCAGTAAATGAATACATTTATGTCTATTGGCGATTATTTGTATAATGAGTAATTGTATAAAAACAAAATATCGTTCTTTAGTTTTTCGACGAAATTTCAATACATACTTGTCTGTCATTATCAATATAGAACAATCCTTGATACATGCATAGTGATTTATGTTTTTATCAAATTCATAAGTGTGAATCCGTGAAAGTGAGGGAGAATTAGTTGCGATATTGATCAAAATAGGTAGTCGAATGCATCATTATGTGTGATCATCTTAGCAGAAATGACAAGCTGTGCACTTTTTAAAAATAATTATCGATTGATGAATAGACATACATACATATAGAAGAGAATAAGATCATTCAAGTATATGAGATTGTACCTTCAAATCTAACGCAATCAAGTATATGTACTCACCTATTTCACCAAAGTAAATTAGGATAAATTTTGTGATGATGATGATGATATATATGTTCTCTTTTTTTTGTATAATTATATTTTGTGACATGAGAAAGAAAAGAAAGAGGACATGTTCAATCAGTTTGTGTGCTATTGCTAGGATATTATATATATATATATATATTGTCACAAGTATGTTCATAACATGAACAATATTTAGGTCTTCGACAAAAAAAAAATATCATGAAGTCATATAGAAATAACAAATATTGACCATTGAGTACCTATTATCACGACAGAGAAGTAAATTCAAACGATTATTTTATAATCGATTTGATTGTTATAAAAATAGCATAGTCTTGATTTATATTAAATACCACGATTAGCTTTGATTACTCTAGCAGGAAAACAACTGTATCGATACAAGATAATTATGTGATTATATTCTTTACTAGACACAATGACATCATCGGAGAAGTCTTAGAAAAGTTCAATTTGTACTTCCATTTGTCTACGCACGTATCATGTGAAATCAAAATAAGAAAAAATTAAACAGCAATCAATCTAAAGAAGAAGACGGAGAAAAAAGAACATCAATTGTGTCACGTACATCCCCAGTACCAATTGCATAATGATATTGTATAACCAACAAAACAACTTGACTGTCTAGTAAGTGGCTTTTTTTTCTAATGTGTTGCATTCAAATAAGGATCGAAAAATAGGATTTTATTTGACATTTAATCACGATGAAATAAGCTACAAATTATTTTAAGATATGTCATATGTATTAATGTGAAACTAATTTATGTATAAAAATTATGTTTCTACAATATATTCTTCACTCGTCGATAGATCGTGTATCTTCAAGTTTCCATGCTTTAGCTTTTAAAATCCATTCAAGTTCGAGTCAACACACGATGTTATATAAACAAAAATGTTCTTATGATTTAAATTGAAGTAACTCCACTAAAAAAATAAATCTAAACAAAACGTCAATTTGTCGGTGAAAATGACGACATCTAATTTTCTCCAGTGGTCGATAAGTGGCTAGAAATTGAACAAACAGCTTGTGTCAACACTTTTTCTTTGATATCAAGTTATTAATAGCGAGAAAAGCGAGAAAATTTCGTAATTATAATATTTTTTGCGTATCGAAATACATCAGAGTTTAGACCGAAGTCAATTTTTACAGTTATTGATTGTGAAAATAAAATTGTTTCAGAGATTAGCTGTTCGGGGGGAAGCTATAGCAACACAAAATACCCAAAACCATACTCACTATCTGAGTAGTTCTTTTGTAATTTTAAGTTTAAATGTAAGTTCACGGACAAATGTAAGTATGTAAAGGTCAGTTAAAGTAAAAGCACATTTTTTTAAAGAATAGTAAAAATAGTTGTTTTACAACATCTGATGCCATCGTTGACAAAGTTCTTTATGTTGATTGAGAGCATTTAAAATTTATTTTTCCAATAATTTGAACGTTTCATCAATTTTAGTTTTCAATTTTGAACAATTGAATTGTCAATTAGCGTCATCTAGAACACCTGTCCGTTAATAGGTGCAAAAACAAATATCGTCTTTTTAATTTAAATAAAAGACGGACTTCCACAATTTTTCATTAAGGAAAATTAAACTGATTTATCAAGCATAACACAATGATTATTTATTATTCAAGAGAACAAGTTATATTATTAAATATTTAACATCTAAAAATAATGTCTTCAGTACATACGACGAGTGCTGTTAGATCATCATCATCATCATCATCAATAGTATCCGATGCAACATTAACACAAAATGACCTTGCTAATAATTCGTCAAATCTTCGGTATGAAAATCGTGATCATTTTCAATCGATATTTACTAATGATTCTCGGTTTTTCGATACGAGTCTTCATCTATATAAATCCTATGCTGCACTAGGTTATATCCAATCAAATGCGCACGATAATAAAAACATTCCTGTTCCTATTTTAACAGCAGGTTCGCATGGACGTAGACATCGCATGAAAGCACGATTGTTAAATTTAACTAATAATACGGATACTTCAAAGGGAGCTATCAAAGCTTTTTTGACACCCACATTATTGAGAAAAACTGGTAATCTTTTTTTTAAATATTTTCTGGAAAAAAACATTTTTTTTGTTTTAAATTAGATAATTCAGATCGTCATCAATCTAATTCAATTGCTGCTCCCAATGGTACAAAGGATCATTCTCAGAAATCTTCAATGCTCATTCAATATCAACGGCCGTCGGTGTCGACTCAGAACAATACTACAATCGAGGAGCCTGACATAATCATAACACGATTATGATCATTTTCATTCCAATCTAGAAATTTCCTTCGTTTTTATAGCCATAAGTCTTTCGTTGATTTCTCATTATACATGTTATGAATAAACGCCATTTCTCACTTCTTTTTGTATACATGTTGGCCGTCTCTTTTTTTGTTTTTTTTTGTAAAATGCAACTTGATTCTCAAGTGAGCTTGTATGTACAGTTTGTTTGGTTTTAAAAACAATATATCGGTTGCTTATTTCTTTTTAATTATATATCAGGAGAATATAATTCAGAAAACAAAACAAAATCGAATAGTATTCAATTTAATAAGACTTTTATTACTAATGATATATATTAGAATTTGTTTCTACCTTGTCATTATTAATTATATGTGAAGATTAATAAAATATTATGAAAGGTATATACTCAAGGAAGTAAGGAATAAGCACTTGATGAAATGACAACTGATATCTACCTAATAATCAATTTTAATTTTAAAATCAAAGTTCCTCTCAGTATACTCTTAGTACAGTAGACATAGTAGCTACATCTATTTTTTCTGTATAGAATCGTTGTTTTCTATCTTCAACTCGTCAATTGTCACTCGAAAAAGAATTTCAATTTTCATATGCTGCAGAAAACTACAAGCAGATGCATCATGACATGAGTTTGCATCTTCGAGATCTGATCAAAAATCGAAACCAGTTGGCTCATCATCATGGAACTATCTGCTCACTGCATTTTCTCACTGCACATGGTCTGTTACATTTAGAAGAACTTTAAGTAATTAACAAGAAAGATTTTCTTATAAAGGTGAACTTAACCCAACCATAGACAATAGAGTTTTTTTTTATTACATGACGTGAATGTCTCTTGTGCATAATAGATAAGTCCTTCATAGTTGAAATTAGCAATCTTCTTCTGTGTCACCTTGATATCTATCATAACGAGCGAAACTTGCACATCCTCTAATTGAAGAACGTTTCCGACATAATTTCGATTCATTGTTATCGAATAAATTTGGTTTGCAAAATGATAAAATACGTGAACATAAATTTAATTGTTGTTGCCGACGATGGTAATGTTTAGCTTTGAGATAAGCTGCAGCATAGCCTGTACGAGCTTGAGACTTCGCCATATTTGTTTTTCTTGGTAAGGAAATATGAACGCAGAACATGTTGGATAGAAGATTAGCATAGGAAATATTTGGCATCGTTTTATTTGCAATGAATAAAAGCAAAACAATGCAGAGAATAACAAAAAGGTTATAGAATATTTGTTTTCAATGCCAGACAATGGTTTCATCAGATATTGCAATAAACATAAATCTTTCGATAAAGTTCATGAAAAATGTAATTCAAAAAAGTAACTGAATCGACATTTAAAGTGTTTAGCATTAAAATATGAATTCGTTGAAGTGATATTCATTGTTTACTATAGTTTTATATTTCTCTATGAATAAATCAAAGAATATTTCACATTATTTCCTAGTTCGTTGAGTAATATTAATGCGACAGCATGAGCGTGTCTCTGTTTTTGGAAAAATATTAATAACTTGAAGAATAAATTATATTTATTATTTCGGGTTGACCGTGCCTTCTTTTGATGCTCTATCAACAAACAAAAAAAGTACTGTGTCGCTTTAGAGAAACATACGAGTACAGGAAGCCATATGTCGCATTCTAGACTTGTTGAGCCTTTATTTTTGCGATGTCACTCTTAGAAATTTAGTTTGCCTTCTCTATAAATATAATGACACCAGTAACGGACGCAAGCGTTTTTGACGTTAATATATATCTAGTGGTTTGATTTTGAATAACGATACATAGACTATGCGTGTTAGAATTAATTATTAATATAATATGGTCTGAATTTATACGTAAAGTTAACTAGACTCTCATACTAATAGAACTCATTATTCAAGGGAGTTTTTGATAAATTCTCTAGATGAAAAAACAAAACTAAAGTTAGATCAATCACATGTTCTTATTAAATATATATCAATTCAACATTCTTCTGCTGTTGTTAGGCGCATATTCATTTATCAGCCTGTTTCTATATGATTGTTACTAAATTATTCTTTGTAGTTTTTTCATTATTAAAATAATGATTAACGATAAGATGTCTTGCCATCAACAGCTAATGAAAAAAAAAACAATTCTTCCTTTTGTTTTTGTGCACTCTATTACATAACCTTTATTCGTTTTCTGTTAGTTTCGACTCCGAAAAAGCCATATATGGAATCTCTTTTTGTTTGTTTTGCATGTCATCGTAGACTTACGGCATATCTTTGTTTTTCTTTAAATATTTATACAGACCTTTTAAACTTGACGATGATAACAACAAAAAAGACGGCCGACATCATTCTGGCCATGCAACCCCACATGAAATAATCCGATTAAATCTAGAAAATAATTAATGGCACTACCTGAAACGTATTTTCCTATTTTTTCCATTCATTATCTTTTAATGATGGTATTATCTTGAGGGTGTGCTCTTAGTGCTCATATTCTCATCGACTTCTACTCCCTTATTTTAAATGAAAATGATATACTTAATTTAGCATTATGCTACCTATTTTTTTAGGATATTCTACTCACATGGTTAGTTACTCTATTAGTATTTATTGTTTCGTTTATATTTATTAATTTGACGAAAATATGTTACAATGCTTGAGTAATGACTAATGCTGCAACAATAGATTTACTTTGCTTTTGATTAACCTCTGTCGCTAATTCTCAAGTGCCTGCTAAGTGACTTTTTTTCTAAGTATGACAAATGTTGATGCATTGAAAAAGTTTGATAAGTTTGTCTATTGCTAATTTCATTTTAATGATAAATTGAGATTTGTCCGTTGAAGATCGTCCGCAATCTGTTGATATAATATTTTCGTTCGGGTGATTTGCTTTTTAATCAATATAATTAATAATAAAGAAGAATACAACTCGATCAGAATGTTGACCCTTTGCTTGATCATGCAGACAATTCAATGAGTTTTTTAAAACAGTTGAGAATAAAATAAAAGATACTTTCAAAAAAGGTTGTTTTTGAATATAATTAGAGGGTGTCGCGTTCTTAAAAATCTCTAAGTTTAGACATTCATGACAAAGATAATACATCGATTTTTCTTGTGTCAATTTCAACGTTTCAAAAGGCTTGTTTTCATTCGTGCTGCAAAATTAGATCTTACGAATAGAATGCATTTTTCTTTCTGTCTTCCTATTAAATAATGTTCGCATCAGTTCACCCGCTGAGTTCTAATGATGAAAAAAAATTTGATTTAAAAAAATGAAATGTGTGAAATTCAAATGCATATTGGCAATTTCTCACATTTTGATACGTATTTTTAGTCTACACAAACAGAGTTAACATAAAAACATTTCTTTACACATTTTTTATTTTTGTTCTATAAAAATACTCTGATATATGTTAACTATAACTTATTCTAGATAATTATATAATCACAAGATGTACCGAATAATTGCATATATTTTATTAGAGTTGTTGAATTTCTTCTTGAGAAAGCAACGCCCGCAAAAGAACAGTCGTAGCATGGAAGTAAAATAAAAAATTGATATCGATAGTTAGTTGATTTTGATTATTTCAAGGTCATAGACATCTGTCTCGTTGAATCATAATGTTTTTGAGAAGTCAAACAAAAACTATAACGTAACTACTAACGGGTTGATCAAAGAATTTCTCGTATTTCATTAAACATGGTTGAATAGAAAAATGATCCAAAAATAGAATTCACATATTCTTTTTGAATAGTTTTCTCTTTTCAAGCATTAAATATGATCCTGCTTTTCTCATATAAAGAGAAAAAAGACTTTCTTTAAATCATTAATGCTCATATATTATTTGAAACGATGATGTACTAGACAATTTTATTTTGTTGAATTAATTCTATTTTCATTGCTTAGGTATAGTTCAAATTTGAATTCGCTTCCTTGATTAATTTACATGTTTTTCGAGGCAACTAAATATCCATCGGATAGATTTTTAACATGATGTCATGAAAATGTAAAATCCAAGTAAAATTAAATATCAATTTCATTCTTTGCACAAGATGACACGCGTCATCAATAGTAAATGATTCATTTGAATTGTAATCTCTTCTTGTTGGTTTTTGTCTACAGAAAAAAAATGTAACCATCGGATTTTTTACTTGTTTTTTTTTCTCTCTCCATCTAGGAAACAAATTATCTGTTCTCATATGAAAACAATAAAAAGAGGAGTCAACCTAATTTTGTTTTTACTTTTCTAGTACAATTAGACATTCCTTCCGTTAAGATAACAATACTATTGCCATATGAACGCCATATATATTTTTCTTTTATTTTTTATATATCAACGCTTTATTATTCCTTATTGGAATAGATCTCTCTTTATCTGTTTTTTCTTCTTCTTCTTCTTCTTCTTCTTTTTCTATTATAACTATTGATTGATTAGTGAAAGACATCATCGTCATTTTTCCCCGCTGTAGAAAATAACAAAATTCTACGCATTCAATATTAAGTTGAAGAATGCTCGTTTTTTCTTGTCGTTTCTGCAAGTGTGTTAGTTCTCTCGCGATCTTATTTTCCTTTTTTCATACGTATAGGATTGCGAGAAGAAAATCAGTCATGCTGGTTGAGCATCATGCTATCGACTAGGGGCGACGACGGCAACGACGGCAACGACGACGTCGGGACAAACGTTCAGTTTTTGTTCTGAATTGGAATAGAAGAAGAAGAAGAAGAAGAAGAAGCAGTAGTAGCAGTTGCGACAAGAAAACAAGAAAAAAAATGATGGCGACTCTCTTTATTTCTTCTTCCGCCTTCAGCTAATTGCGGATGCGTGCTACGACAAAAAAAGAGTAAGAGAGAGAGAGAGAACGCCAATACTAAGAACAAACACTGCCTTCTATTGCGAGCCACGTCGTCATCATTTTAGCTCCATGTTAGTAACAAACGAGAAACGAAGGAAAAAGGTTCATTTCTTCTTTTTCTCTCTTTATCGGCTACCCCCCTATTAGCAAAAAACAGAGGGAAGAGAAGAAAAAGGGAATTTTAGTTGCTGCTGTTGTTATTGTGAGCTACTCGTCAGAACTTCCATAATCTTTATCTTGTGTGTGTGTGTGTGTGTGTGTGTGTCTGCGCGCATCACACAGTAAGTAAGCTGAACTTAGAATCTCATATCATTCATCTACAGCACGTGTTGTAGTCGATTTGACGGTGGTGATTGTTGCTGGTAATGCAAATACAAGTAGGTAAAGGAAAACTATTTTGTCACAGATAAAATTTCTCATTTTCATGATTAAATATAGAACGAACTAACAACTGTGTGTGTATCGTGTAGCATTAATCTCTTGGTCGTTTCTTTTCTCTATGGCGTTTCCATCAGCTTCCTTTTTATTCTATCATACAAAAAAAAGTATTCAAGATAAAGATATCTTCTAACTCATGCGATTTTGTTTCCTTCGTTTTTCTCATATCATCGGTCGTTTATTAAAATTCATACAAAAAGGCCCATCGACTAAAATGAATGTTAATCTAGCTTGTTCCTTTTTGTTTTAGCCATTATTAACTTTTAATATTTTATAAATCAAATCAAGTCAAATGGGTAATTTACGACATCGTCGTTTTCGTCGTCAAGAAACGGTGCAAGACGAAGACGATTATGAAGAAGAGGAAGGTGAAGGTGAAGAAGATAATAATCCACCATCGACTACTGTTTCAGCAGGCCCTCCACTGACAACTACTGAAAATCAATTCGACAAGATGAAAGCAATTGGAAAAGATGCCATTGAAAAGGTTCCAAGTAAGCATTTTGATAAAAATGGTTTTCTAATGATTACAACAAAAATAAAAAAAGAACTATGCATTTATCCGACTCCCCGAGAAGTCATTCAACTTTGATTAATAGATTTATTTTTCTTACTGTTACCGTTGAAATTTGTCATACGTCAAGAAATACTAAAGAACGAAGCGTGAAATTTTCGCAAAGAAAGTGTTATTGAATAAATACCTTTCTATAGGCGAGAACATTTATGTACTTAACATTCTACTAAAGTCAATCTACACATCATAGTCAGTGTACATGAATCTCATTCATAATAACGAAGAGGTTATTTTTTTTTCGTGTCAGTACCATTCTCTTTTTTCTTCCTATAGTCCACATGAATTCAAGCTCTTGTATTGACACACGAATAGTAATGAGGTGGCGTATCGACTATTAAAAGAAATATAACATCACGTTTGTTGATATACATAAAAATAATCCAAAAAAAAGGAAAAACAGAACCGACAACAATTTTCTTTTTCGTTCTTTTTCTTACGGCAATTTTATAACTTAGACGATAAATACTGATGCTATGCTATTATAATATTCATGCTGCTTAGATAAATAATACTTCGACTTTTCCCACACGGTTATTGATGCATACTTACAAATTAGTGTCTCAATGAGTCTACATACTCGAATGAAGTTTCAGAAAATCTTTACAGTCGAAAATAATTCATTGATTTTACCAAATGCAAATAGAATCTTATCATCAAATTACCGACGTATGTATACATATTTCTATATATGTATGTGAATAGTTTTTAGAAAATACTTATGAGAATAAACGAATTCTCCGAAGATTTCGAGAAAACAAGACATCAATTAGGGATAATAAAAAATTTTAATTTGATATTCTTAAATAACAATCGCCCAAATAGCTCAGCCGGTAGAGCATCTCTCTCGTAAAGAGAAGGTCCATTGTTCGATTCAGTGTTTGGGCACTGATCTTTTTTTTTATTATTGATCTATTATTTTTCTTTTAGTGCCACCATGGGCTACAATTATAATTGTAATCGTAGTCCTACTCACATTAGCTACGTGCTTAGCTTGTTGCATACGTCGTACATGTCGAAAAATATGGAAAAAGAAAGGTGTCAAAGGTGGCAAAGGAATCGATTTACAAGCTGTTAAAACATTTGGCTTACATAAAGAAAAGGTAAATAGAAAATAAAATAAATTACATGAAGAAATTGTTTTTGTTTTGTTATACATTATCTAATAGGTCCAACCCGATGTCGAAGAATTAACACCAAATATGGAAGACAATGAAGACGCCGATTCAAAAAAGAGTGAAGCACCTAATTTAGGAAAGTTAGAATATTCACTTGATTATGATTTTCAAAAACAAGAAGTATGTTTTAGAGAGAGAGAGAGAGAGAGAAAAGATCGATTGTTGTTTTTCTTCTTATAGCTTAAAGTTGAAGTTATACAAGCTCAAGAATTGCCAGCTATGGACATGAGTGGAACATCTGATCCATATGTTAAAGTCTATGTATTACCAGATAAAAAGAAAAAATTCGAAACAAAAGTTTATCGAAAAACATTAAATCCTGTGTTTAATGAAACATTTATCTTTAAGGTTAATTAACAAATGAATCTATCAGGAAACAATAAATAATTTTTATGTTTTTGTTATGATAAATATAGAATTTGGCTTACGGTGAAATAGGTGGGAAAACATTGGTATTTGCTGTCTACGATTTTGATCGATTTTCACGACATGATCAAATTGGTGAAGTACAAATTGCACTTAATACAGTCGATCTAGGAAAAGTTATAAGAGAAATTAAAGATTTAACACCTCCGCCTGGTGAACGCGAAGCTGTATGTTACTCATAGATAGATATCCTATTGTAGATTATCGTTGATTGTGTTGTATAGGAAAATAAATTGGGCGACATTTGTTTTTCACTTCGATACGTTCCAACAGCAGGTAAATTAACAATAACAATACTCGAAGCTAAAAATCTCAAAAAGATGGATGTCGGCGGACTTTCTGGTAGGTTATAAAGGAATGAATCTTGTCGAAGAAGAAGAACAAAAGGAGACTTTCAATTTTAGATCCATATGTTAAATTATCATTAATGATGAATGGAAAACGTTTGAAAAAGAAGAAAACATCGATCAAAAAATGTACATTAAATCCATATTATAATGAATCATTTACATTTGAAGTACCGTTTGAACAAATCCAAGTATAGATTTATTTTAATTTTAAATTAGACAATAAAAATAAAAATGAAATTTTTGTGTTTTAGAAAGTGCAATTAGTAGTTACCGTAGTTGATTATGATCGTATCGGTACATCGGAGCCTATTGGAAAAGTTGTTTTGGGTTGTAATGCAACCGGCACTGAACTACGCCATTGGTCCGATATGCTTGCATCACCACGGCGGCCTATTGCTCAGTGGCATTCACTTAAAGATCCTGAAGATGGAAAGCCATCATAAATAATATTGCAGAAAGAAACGCAAAAAAAAAAAGAAAAAATCATTCCTATTTTTTTTTCTTGTCCTACATACACTTTTCTTTTGTTGTTACTGTGCGATATTCATTTGATTGCTGTTGTTCGTTGTTGGTGTTGTTGTCTTATTTTTGTCGTCAAGACTGATTAATATTTACAAGTATTTATTTATTTTTCTCTTTATCTTTTTCTTTTTTTTATATGTATTTTCGTGATCGTTGTTCGTATACGAAATATCATTCCTTTGCCCTTCGACCGACTCACATACACGCATACCATCGTTATTGTTGTTTGTGCATGTAATCTTATGGTCCTTTCGTTGTTTTTGTTTTAGTAGGGAACAATCTCTTATTTTTCCAACTTCCGGTTATTTAATGTCGGTGTAAATAAAAACACAAAATTCCAAGTTTTTATTAAATTAAAATTATTTGAAAATCTATCAAAGGAATTTTCAAAAAAAGGAATACATACATAAAGGTTTGCTATTCATTTAAAAACATTTATTAACGAATTGTAAATTTTCATTCTTGACAATTAAAGTTAATCATGGAAAATGAATATGACGTTCTAGCGATATTGTAGGTGACATAAACAAATTGGGTGTTTTATCACAGTTGAATAGCAATGATTTATAAGCACCGAAATAAGAACATAAAAATAATTCTAAAGTTGTGAACTAGATTATTTTTAATTTGTCTTGTTATTAATGGGTTATTTTATTTAGTTGATTCTTCGGAGGTTAAACCGATGGCAAATAAAAATACAATTGAAGCTTGCGAGTAAAAACAACACTATTTTTCGATTGATGTGTGTTAGAATAGCTCTTGGGATTTTTGAATTGATTTAAGTTTATCGAGTCAGGTCAACCTTGACTTTACTTACTTTGTAACTTAGTTTTTATACTGTACTGTTGAACCGGAAAATAACTTTTGCGTTGATTAAAATTTTCCTACAATTGTATTTTAAATATAATATAGTATTAGGATCAATCTATAAGAATAAGGTTTTTTTTAATTATTTCTCTGACGTCATATATACGCTCTTAAGCATAAAATTTGGAATTATCATATCTTTCCTTTATATGAAAATAAATCATATATCTGCTTGTATAATTAAGTTATTCATGGTACAAGAATATGAAAACAACATGTTTTTGTCAAGATTTATGAATTCTTTAGCATCATGTTTTTCTTCTGAAGCTTGTTAGTGTAATTAGAGTTTTAATATAGTTAGTAGTTTAATTGAAAAAATAATTAGCAGATTACCCATATGAAACCAAGATAATCATAAAAGATTGCTTGAGCAATCTAAATTGAATATATTGATTAACTGATTTCGGATGATAACAAAATTTATCTGTTATTGTCTGATATTCAAATAGTTTGATAATAATAGGACTAAAACAATCTCTGCATCCCTAACCGCCATTTAGTTATCGTTTCGTGACGAAGTTAACTTTCTTTGGAAAATGTTTAATTTTACAGTAGCTTCTTGATGAGCTTCATTATACTGATTCGCTTGTTGAAGAATGTTTTTATATGAAAACAAGGACTTTATGTTTTTCAGTTGAACCCAATGGTTATGAATGCTCGTAGCGAAAACAATCGATTCGCTATTTTTCTTGGCAAAGTCATTGCGCAAGTTTATGCAGAACTCAGACCGAGTTCACTGTAAGAATAATTATTTATGATATATTGAACTCTGCCACAGATAGATAGATAGATATATAGAAGAATGAATAACTTGAGAAATTTTTAAAGAGAATCCTCTTCTATTTTTGTTTTTGCTGTTGTTCACTTCATAAATTATTTACCTTAAGCAGCGCAAATTTCAATAAACTGCTTCTACTTTTAATATGCAGAAATACTGAAGTGCTTTGTTTTTCTTGAGAATCCTGATTTATATTGAGTCTTATAAAATATTCTAATGCTAAGTTGTTTCTATTATTCTCCTACGCCGCATCTAGTTCAAACGAACTAATTGAATTTGTTTTCTTTGATATTTCTTCTTTATATGTAAGTCTTGCTGATTCTTCACTTCCTGTCATCAAACATTGTCGTTTTTTTCTTTTCTTTCTCGCTCCATTAATACTCATACACTGCTCCAGTTCCTTTTTATGATACGAATTTATTTATTTATTTTTGTTGAGGTTCCGTTTTTTCTATGTTCGACCTACATACGTCTACAATTGCTTAAATTTAAATACCGAGAAGCTGAAATGTTCCTATATTGCAAAATAATTACTTCCTACAATTTTACAAGCGTTAGTTATTCATTTTTTTAAATATTTGCATTGATTTTTATCACCATTTATAAGTTCAAACATATGGCTAGAATAGACATTACAAAAACAGAACCCGTAGGCTATTACTATGGATCGTTTAATTATATTTCTATGCGTTTTACAATATTCCAGTAAGCTTTTTATATTTCTTCGAGATATTTTGTTTGTAATTTGAGTTTCTCTGTTTCATTAGTTGGCCCCAGCATTCGTGGCCGCATTTTACTTAACGGCAATGAATTCTTATCAACTAGTATACCTAGGGGTAGTATACTTTTGGTTAATTTTCAAGATACATCAATACCTGCTTTACCAGCAAGAAATATAACACAAGTATAAGTTTCAAATTTAATTGCTTTTCCATTGAAGTGTGAAATGATCTTACCTGATGATCTTCGCAAAGTATCGTTTTACTCAATATCAGCTAGAATAATTAACGGAAAGAATATTTTATATGGCAATGATCAACGCACATGAGTAGCAATTGGAACTGCTAATCTATTGAATAACGATTGACGTTTCAGTCACCAGTGTTAATCAAGGTTTGAATTTTTCTATGTGGCTAAATCAAAAATATAAAAACCTATAACATTGTTTCAGCTTCATCGAAGGCTGATGAACCAATTGCCGAAAGTGACGTGAAACAAACATTTTGGCCAGAAATAGTACAGACGCTGTAGCATACATAAAACAAGCCAGTGGTGAGTAGATTTAAAAAATTTGGTTTGATCAATTTGATTATTATCTAATATGTAGGTCTAACAGACGTATTCACTATTTACGAAAGATCACTTATCACGATGAATCTTCTAAATGATCGTGTCCGTGTTTCTGTGAACAGAAGTGGCGTCGTTGTTCGACCACCTTTTATTGCTTAAATTGGCAGTTTTAGTTTTTTTTTCTTCAAAACAAATATTCAAATACTAAATAAGATCATCAACTAGATATCAGCCTTCGTTTGCACTACTGTCAGCATATCACAGTCTCATATTGTCAAAAACAGGGAAACCATCGGACGTTTTTGACGACGATGAAAAAAGACTAAGAGGAAAGTACATGAATGCTAAACAAGCAGCCATAAACTTTAAAATAACTGTAGAAAACATTCTAATAGTTAAAATGTAAATTTTGGATGTAACAAAAGTTTTTTGGCACTCTACATAATGACCTAGAATAATTATTTGAATATTTTCGTGTATTGCTACTTGTCGTTATGTTAATTTTTCTTTGACAACGAAAGAGGGAATTGTTAAATCATGAAAATGCTTAAAAATTTTCTTCATCGAAATCAAAACAGATAAATCTGGATTTGAGTTTTTAATCAAACAATTAATTATCGAATCAAGCTTCAATATATTTTAAAAATGTTTATAAAAAAGAACAAAAAATAAAATTAGCATAATTAAATATTCCTTATGATATAATTATCCTCGCGCAACACAATATTGGCCACGTTTTGCATTACCACTATAGCACATAAGACCAGGACAGCATGGCGGTAAATTTGGAGCGCATGACCATACTCGTGGAAGACATAGTGGACTTTGAAATACTTTTTGTGGGGAAAATGATGGCAAGAACGGACGCATATTGTGTCGCGGAGAGCCAAATTTTCGATTGGTTTCTTCAAAGTTTCTCTCTCTTGGTTTCATATAAATATTAAATAAATCATTAAAATCACTTGAATCTCGATGAGGATATGACAAAATAACTGGAAATAATAATATAAATATGCAATGTAGGAAGTTCATTTGGTTGATTTTCACCTTTAGTTAAGATCTATGAATGAAATTTCCAAAACAAGATTTTGTATAAATATATGCGAATGACTGTCTATGTATGTGGGGGTTAATTTCGTAACCGCCTGCTGTTGATCAATGACGAAGAATGGCAGAATGAAAAAAAACTTCTTCAGTTGTTCTTTTATATTTTTTCAATCTAATCGTGACGCGAGATATATCGAATTTTACTATAGCAGCTTTCATTACAGATTACACTAATGTAGGGCTTATTGACTCATACATAAAGACAGGACAGTAAAAGCATAAAACGTCTGTATATATATATACGTATATATAATCAAGGCTGAATTTAACAATGAGCCCATTGAGTAATAAAATGATGCCATCATTTATCTCGATTTGCGTCATCTTGTATAACGTCAAAAAACACCCACGACTGGTAGACAAAACAAAATCCCACTATGAATTATCATTGTAAAATTGAAATTCATAGAGAGATGGCTGCATATAATAGAATTCGATTCTATTCATTGGTTAAATATTTGAGTATGTTAAAATGCCTCTCCTCCTAGAAAAAATATGCGTAGTGATTGTTAGTTTTACTATAATGGTCGATAAGAATCACTTTGAAAAAAGATTTCTCCAACGACAAGATTCGATAGGAGGTATGAAGTTTAATCCTTGATAAGAACAATATTTTATCATACATATTAGTATGAAGCTTACAGAATATATCGGAACCATAATAGAGAGCCCATAGGAAAGTTTACAGTTTTACCAGGAAGTGAAAGGCGCTTGTTTATGGACTTTAAATTGTATATAGGCTTTCATTCCATTATAATCTATTTTAGTTTTACTTGAAAAATCATGCGACCATGTCGAGGATGATAGAGCACTTCGCTTTAAACTGCTTAATTTTCACGAAATAAAAATATAATGTCTAAGAAAGTAGCGCTCTAATTATGAAAGTAGTCTTTTTTTACCTATAAACAAGAAAAAAAATACTTACTTCAAAAAGCCGATTCTATCATGCACTACATCTTAATGTATTCTTTCACACAAAAGAGAATAGCAATTGACTCGAGTGAAACTCCTGCGAGGATTGTAGAATGTGTGATTACAAAAGCACGATCTAGGAGGAGAAAAGACTTTCCTGCTCTGCCAGATTACAGCATATTTTCAATTAGGTGAGTAGAGAAAATATCGGAAGGTTCTGCATAAAAACGGATTGCCTGATAAAAGGTGCGTGTCACATATGAAAGAGCAGATGTCGACCAGTGTTTCTTTACATGAATCTTACTTTTGAGAATTCTGACGGATGCTGACTTTGCTTCTGGGCGAAGAGTATCTAATGCATTTAATCTTTTCTGTCGAGATCATTAGCCAAGCAAATATGATATTTTTGCTACGTACAATACAAAAAAATTTACGATCGTATGAGTAGATCATAGAGTATTTACACTATGAGGTGTGTTTCGTTATGACTAATTTGATATTTTTTCGTAGCAAGAATGAAATAGCAAAGCACTCTTGCTATCACCTTTCAAATGATCTTTACTTGGCAACATGCTATTAAAGCATGTTAAAATAATAAAATTCTGTATCCGGTATCGAAAGTACAACGCTTTGTCGTGCGTAATGTTTTATTTATAATAAATGTGGAAACTTCGGATTTCATCCGAGAGTTATGTGTACTGCAAAAAGTGCATGGGATATATGAGTCATTCTAAAATGTCTGAACACCAAAATTATCATGAGAAACTAGGCAGTTTGACTTCTGGATGTAGTTTTTGTGCATTTTGAGACGTTTTTAGGCGATGTTGCGTTAGAAAGCTACGATTTAGTTCAAAACTAATATCAGATTTGGAATCAGCGTTAAAACCTGAGTCGATTTATATATGTTGTGGATAATTCTGAGAAAAAAAAGCTCTTCTGAAAAATCCCTGTACTCCCCCTCAGGGATGATCTGATCAAAAATGACAATTTTTTCGATAACTCAACCATTTCTTGACGGATCCTTCTCATCTTCGAACTCGACCTAGATATTGATGAGACAATTCTGTACACAAAATTTCAGCTCAATCGAATGTAATTGTGAAGAGTTATTGAATAAACGGACGGACACACTGACCGATTCTATAGTGTACTCTTTTTTTTTTGAGTACACAACAACAAATATGCTTGGCAATGATTCTATTGTTCTTTCATTATTTGAGCATGTCAATCTAAGATTATTAAAAGGTAGAAAGCATTTATAGAGATTGATTTTTTCTAAAGTAAAACATGTCTCATTTTCAATCGCATGCACATCAATCTCTAATACCCAGCAAAAATCTGAGAAATATTAAAAAGGGTCTCACGTGCTATATTGAATATGATATTTGTTTGATCAAAATATTCACTGATGCAATGCTTCAGATCTGGCTCTTTTTATAGGCGGACAATATCTGTGAACAGAAGACCCCAATGCGCTCCATTCAACTTCAATTCCATACAAGAATTTTTTGTATGTTTCAAAATAGATGATTTAGACCCAAATTCAGGCCGTTTTAAACTTTTTATAATTGAAAATATTTGCATTTCTCACTGAGTTGCAGGAGAAACTTTTAAAGATAATATAGCAGTGTTCACTCACCTTACTTAGTATTCATTGCACAGTAAGGAAGAATGAGCAGTTTTTGAAGAAGTTTTCACAGAAACTAGATGGAGATCAACGGTTTTCACCATTTAAAAGAAATAATAAAACTGTATCAAACTTTCAATAACCGAGGCTTGTGGCAAAACTTCTTAGACTTACTCATCCAGTTTACTAAACTATATAAATAGATCTGGAAAAATTTGTCAGAAAAATCTGGTGTTTTTGCAACACTTCAGCATGCTCAAGAGACTCCACAAAGAACGGACGATGAAACTCTTTGTCTACCTTGAACTGAGACTACTAATGATAATTTTTCAATTATCCCTCAACAAAGAAAAATATTCTTGGGCTCCAGTTTTTCAAGTGAACAAATGAAATCTTACAAATAAAGTAGCCGAAGCAAATTTTTATATCAATAAAATATTCAATGAAAATGAGTGTTATTTTATTTAAAAAAAACACTTCAAAAACTTGAAGTGACTACAAAATATACAAAAATTTTCAAAACAAAACCAACAGAAAACCTTGCTTGTATCAAGATGTACTACTATTCGATCAAGCCTTTGAATTTGTTTCTTGAGTAATACCAAGTATATTTTCAATATCATTAACAGCTAACTATAAATAAAAATTTTCAAGTTTTTTTTTTACATATTATTTCTAGAGGAAAGCCCTTTTTTCTGCTCACCATAAAATTACTCGATTCTTGCATATCTACAGGCGTAATTTCTTGATAGATGGTATTTAAATAACAGGCGAAATTCGATAAGGTAGTTTTTAATGTATCACTGATTGTAATCATACCAATATGTTCATGATGATCACATTCATACAAAGTAAAAATCGTTCCTTGCTTTTCTCGAATATCAAAACCAACACCGTGTGTACGACAAATTTGAAAAAAGATACTATAATGAAGATTCGACAGGTTTCTATGATACAATTTTGAGCTCAAAATGCCATAACGATTTTTTTCAACAATCTATTATCCAAAAAAAGTAAATCATTTCAAAAAATCTTTTCTTTTACTGTATATTCAGGGGCACCATTTTGCCAATTTCTTAATCGTTGCTTTAGTTGTTTCATTTTAACAGTAAACGAATGCATTTGAGGATTGAATTTTCCAGTTGTTATATATTGCATAACACGAGAAAGTGAGATATGTTCAGAATAGCCAATACATAAATCAATTACCCACAGGTTTTGTTGTTTAGTTTTTATGTCGATAAATGTTATAAAATCAATATCAATATAACCATAAATATTTCTCTGCCGACATTGTTCGACAATGGACGAACAATATTCGTTTAATTGATTTGAATCGGCGCTCGTCTGTGGAAATGATAAACCCCAGCAAGAAAATTGAGATTCAGCATGAAGTTGGTCACCGGAACAAACTAATGAATAATGACCATCAGGTTCAATTGAAAGGCATACGGTTATTGATGTTACTGAATTCGATGGTGGATATGCTTCGATAATACCGCCTTCCGATAAAAAGACGTTTAAATATTCTTGCCAAGAATTAAATTGTTTTTTATTTATATAAATTGTATGTTTATCAAGAACATCGGATAATTCACATAGAACTTGTGTGTATGACTGCTTCTAAAATCAAATAAAAAATATTGAGATTTTAATGAAAATCTATTTGAAGTATGATTAACGTCCCTTATTTTAGTAGTATTCCTATGAAATTGGAGACGAAAAGTGATCCACAAATAGAGTTAAGGGAACGATAGTTTTAGAACACACGAAGTTTTCATTAGAAAAACGGCTTTATTTATCGCATGATGACAGGCAGAGATATCTGGCGTGAATAACTTCTAAGCGTAGCGATGAACTCATTTTCTATAGTTAGTATGTGTAGAAATTTCCATACGATCAAATAATTTTACTAACTCAATAAAGTTTCGTCAAATGAATATGCTTTTCTGAAGAGTTGACTATTGTGAAGCCTCTCGAATGTAGATATCTTTCTATTCTTCGTCAGTCTAGAGGCTTTTCCGATCACGTCTTGCATAGGATAGACTCTCTTGAAAATGAATAATCTCAAAAATTAGTTCGCGCCTTTAAATAAAAACTGAGGATTCTCATATGTGCAGGAACTAGTGAAGATCATTTTCAGACATTCTTCGCCATACAATTTATATCAAGGAATCGATTTGGGCTAGTTGCGCTAATGCGTTCAACAAAACATCCTGTAAAAGAAGAGCAATCGAGAAAAAATAGACCAGCATTAAACTTGTACTCGTTCATTTACCACCACAGATAGCTTATGCTAAATTAAATCAACAATTTCTGTTTTCTTTTACTCGTACAGATTGATTGGGCGATTTTTCAACTTCTTCTAAAACATTTTTATAGCACGGAAGATGAGTAGCAATATCACAATAAGCAATCCCGAGTCCATCGTAATTATCATCAATTTTAAATATCCATCGTTGAACATCGAGATGTTCAACAATCAATTGTGCTAATGATTCGAGTAGACGTTTTTGATTGTATATATCATATTCACCGTAAGGCATCGGTACATTACTTGATTTAAATATTCTTTTTGAACCTGATTTTGTTGAATATAAATAGGATGATTCGGGTTCGCAACCTATTCAATATTTGAAAATAAATTTTTATTGAACATAACAACAAACGAAACTGACCATATATAGAAATATCAAGATATTCCGATATGTAAAGATCATCAATATGTGAAATTCCTGTTACAAGATAAGCCGAACGATCTTTTATCAACTTTTTAATTCTAAAATAGTCATACAAGCTCTTTTTTTTTATTGATATTCCTTCTTGTTTATTTACTGTTTTAATGCTTTTGGGCTATATTTAAGTAAACTGGCCAAACACATATTTTGCCCCTAAACATTAAAATTATTTTCCAATAATGCTCGATAGTTAACTGACCGGAAATCTATTCAATGCTTCTGGAACAATAATAACAAATCGTTCATTTGTATTATTTGATGTTGTAGGTGTTGGTTGTTCACTTCCCTGTTCAACCAAAGCGCGTAAACTGATCTAAACATTTAGCAAAGAAAAACCTTTTCTATTTTCAAATATCAGCATCCATTAATTGGGCCATAGAATAAAATAAGCACGGATATGTAGTACATTCTCTTTATCATAAAAGAATCTTATGTTTTATTCAACATGACAATATCATTCCTCATAAGATCTAGTCGAGTTTACTGAAACCTATCCTATGTCTCTATAGTCATTGATACAATAACTTAAAAACAGATCTTACCAATCTATTATAGTACTGTAAAATTTCATCGTTCACAGGCATAGGTGACACATAAATAACATCGATATTCGGATCTTCTAATTCGCATAAACGTCCTATTTGATAATTTTCTTTCAACGGTAAATTATCCAAGTTTTTTCGAATACCTTCTGATAAACCTAACGATGGTATATGTACAATAGTACGGCGATGTGATGATATATATAACCATTGATCTCGTAATTCGCTTTGTTTCTTGTGAAAAAAGTCGAATTGGCGACGACGCATCAATTTTAATTGTTTTCGAAGTTTAACCAATTTAGAATGTTTTAACCAGGTCGATGCAATTACATTGGCAGCCCATCGTCGTTTTTTCAAATTTTTATAAATTTCTCGAGCATGATAACTACGCCAACAAGATTGAATTATGATAGCTGCTCGTTGTTTTCCGTGTTTATCACGAAAACGACGACCCTAATGTAACAATAAGATATCCCTTTAAGTATAATCCTACAATAGTATCAGATAATATTATAGAATGAGTCCCTTGGTACGAATTATATCTTAAAATTTGACTCTTTGTTTCTGAACTTGTCATTCTCAACACAGAATCTTATTAGTTTCTTAGAGTAGAATGTTTACCGGTTCTTTGATTAACCGTTCGACTTCATTTCGATTGATAATCGTACTAAGAAGTTCATTTAATGTTGGTTTTCGTTTACTACCAATTAATTGTACAAGTTCAGCAACTCTGTTCAAATAAATTTTAATTCAAGCAAGTAACACAAAAACTATCTTACTTTTCTCCATCGATAAATGCAATTGGTACAAAATAATTACACATTAGTTTTTCTAATACATCAAATAGCTTCGCAATAGCACCCCATACATCAGAGTAATGCTGTCGAAATTGTAAAAACTCTTGTGTTTGATCTTTTGTTCGGCCATCGTGTATTAGCAAACGATATGCAATTTTATTGTCTCGTACTGAATCACATGTCGATAATGGACGATTAAGAGCACTTTTTTTTACTCGATTAATACGTAATCTAGGTGATTCAATAGTTGACGTGTTAGATATAGATTGAGGCGGGGATGAAAATTTATTCAATGGTTCACGGTACTGAACAGATGTAGCAGATCCTTCTAAAATCCATTTTAGAATGATGAATAGTGCGAGAAAACAAGAAAATACTAGATATACTTACGACTATCATAAGTTCTTAAGCGACTTGGTGATTCATTTGCGTTTGGCGTCGTTGGTCTAAATGTAAAATGAGGAGTGGGTGAGGTAGTATCATATTCTGTAAGATGGATAAGGCTTTGTTTAGTATCATCTGATGTTAAGGCTGATGAAGAATTCTAAAGAGATGAGAAAATGTGTTTAACATAAAAGATGAAGAGAGACATTTTTTACAATTGGATTTCGTTGACGTTTCAGAGGTAAAACACCAAGTGGTTCTGATGTTCTTTTCGATAGAGGATTTCTTAGCATTGGCTAAGAAAAACGAAACAGTATATGAGATCAACAACAATGAAAATAATAGCAAACAATTACTCGTGGTTGATTTGTTTCGATCAATGGTAATTGAATACCAGAGTTATCAGGAGTCGTTTGACGATTTCGATTGATGAATGAAGCTGCATTGGATATAAGTGGCATACCATCATTATATTGTTGCCGGCTACTAGAAAATGTTTTGATTCTATAATAAATAGATTTCTCAAGCAAATTACTTTGAATTCGCCGCTGAAGCTATTGGTATTCCATCACGATACTGTTGAAATTGGTAGACTTGTTCGAATGTCGTCTCATCCGGTAATTGCAGACGTGAATCTTGAGTGTGGGCTTGATTGAAAGGTACTCTCGAACCAGCATTTTTATTGAACATATTCAACCCATTATCGGTTCTATCCTAAATATGTTAAAATCGTAGGTTCTGTAGAAAAAATTATTTATATTTACATTATGAACCGTTCGAGCCATCATTTGTGTTAAGTCATTAGTAGCAGATTGATTGTTTTGTTCTGGTTTGGCTACGAATTTTTTCATAGTACGAAATTCATCATGAATCTATCATAAAGACAGGAGAGATTCGATATGGGTTATTCATTGAAGTCAATAGCATACTTTTTCTGTATTGGCATTACGAGTATTATTAGTATTGGTGGATGGCACTAGGGCCATCATTTTTTTATAACAAAATAAAAGATCTGAAAAAATTTAGTTAACACTTCATCATGTTCCAAAATAGAACTTATGAGCATTGAAATAATATCCTTCGAAGTTTGTTGATCAAAACGAGAGTTCTCACAAACATGACAATCCCTGCTGAGAAGATGCTTCAAGCTATTGAATTTTACTCGGGGATCTACATATTATGCATCATGGAAAATAAGAACAATATGAAAATCTGCATTTTTGGTGTTTGATTGAAAATTATTGCAAACATATCTCATGAGTACTTTGTACAAGTTGATAGATGAATAAAACTCACAACGGATTGTTCGTACTATTGAGAAAGAACAGTCAGTTCTAACTCTCAACTCCTACGCGTTTTATTGATCTCGAATCCATGCAAATGAATAAAAACATCACGAAATGTTTTATCTCGCAATTGTTACCCAATAATAAAATTCTTCAGTCTACGCTAAGAAACTGCGCATTAGAAATATTTCTTAAAAGAACAAACACGAAAATCGATCACGCGTATGAATCATTGAAAACATTATTTTTTCGCTTTTTTATCTTTGGCATGGCGTCAAACGAACTCTTACATAACTTTGTAAACAGATGATGCCCTGTTTTAGATAAACATATTAGATCGATCCATTTTCCGGTATGGCACATCAAACTTAAATGGAAGTACTGATTCGAATCGATGATGAAGTTCTTTATGAAATTCATTCACTATTTAAAAAATTTAGGTACATTTTGAGAGGAAGTACGTTGAAAAACTAAATATAATAGCCATCTAATTTGGAAAGGCTACATGAATTAATTTTTCAAAATAACATGATAAACGATATAAAACCATCAATAGAATGACAGGCTGTCACATTTCATATCTCGTTCCCTTGAAAAGTTACGTAAGTATATCACAATGAAAATTTATTATAGTATTTACTAATAATGTCTCTTTGTTGTGGATATCAATTTCTAATGAAACGCCTTAGGAGATACGGTGATCTCTAATCCTATCAAGAGATTTGTGTAATTAGAAATAATACTCATATTATCCATTTCTGAACCTTCCATAAATAGAATTTATGATTCATCATTCGAATTCCTATTTGCATTTAAAGGAAATACTTGCCATTATAGATAAATACTAATTTACTTCTATATTTTCTAGTATTAATTTATTTTGTCGGAAGTGCGATTGTTTTTATCTTATACATCTTATCTGCATTCTAATTTAATATTCCGCCAGGTCTATAAGCTATTTTTATACTCTTCTAAAGTTGTTTATCATGTCTCTATCAACGGTAAAATAATATTTTTGTACACTATGAAGTATTCGTATATTTGATCTTTACTCTATTTAAATTAATCAGAACTATGACTTCTTTTTTTTGTTAAATTGTCTTTCTTGCTTATATATTTTACATGGTTTAGTCTATAGGATACTCACATATAATTTACTATGTTTCTGTCATTTGATAGTTTGAAATATAAGTAAAATTTCATTCCTGTGAAGTTATTTAATCATGATTTTGAAGGTAATCTCAGTCTTTTTGCGTTGGGTACATTTCTAGACAAAGTTGAAAAATCGCGTCGAACAATCATTAGATGTGCAAATTTGAAAAAATTGAATTGCCAATGAAGAAAGAAAAACAAAAGTATCGAACGTTAGAACCCATGTGAATTGTTGGATGTCTGGGCAATAGACCTCTACGTAAAAATCGATGGCTCCCTTTCAATATAATTTAAATGGTAGTTCAAATAGACCAATACAATTTATTTAGTTTACAACTATAACCACACAAAGAAAAAAAAAGAAAGAAAAGAAACGATCAAGGCACTAAATCGATAAGATTATAAAATGCTCATCTTTTTCTTGTTAGATGCGTCTTCTAATAATGCATTCAAGACAATCGATGATACTGTTGACAGATCAAGGTTGTTGGCAGTGTCTAACTTATTTCGTATGCGTTAATAAGAAAAAGTCGGATGTTCTCATCTTGCCTTTATTCTGTCATCGGTATATATAACTTGGACTTGTTTGTGGTATCATACAGAGTTTTTTCGACGTGTTTTCATTCTTATAACAAAAACGTTAACAGATATCAGTCAGTTTGAGATCAAAGTATGTCCGATTTTTCTACTGCACATTCTTCATTAGATTAATCTATCATCATAATCTAATTATGCTGATTACTTTATTCTGTCGAGACAAGCGAAGTGCACAATGACGATGATCATTTGTGGTCATTTGGTGTCTAGAAATGTATCTGCATAGATATATCTATATGATGATAGATCATCGTTAAACAACATGAAACATATTTTGAATACGTCATATTATCATGAGAGGTCAAGTTATGAATAGACGTCGAACTAATGACTATTGTATAAAAAGAGAATGACAGCTGTTACTTTCGACTGACCCTGAAAGATTTTTTCTGCCCTTTCTTTCTTTCTCTCTCTCTCTTTCCGTCTCTCACTCGCTCTCTCTATCTGTGTATAAGCGATGAATAACAAATAAATGTATTCATTTGTAGATTTATATTTTATGCATGAGAATGTTTGGCTTTTACGGACATCAACCATTATCACCTGGCCTATCTTCATACGATATGGAGACAATCGACGAAATCTCATCTCCATCACAGCTTCCCATTGACGATGAACTCTCAACATCGAATCGACTGAGTGTAACAGCATTACACAACTCAATTCTACTTCGCTTTAAGGTTAGAATATTTTAGTTTAATTGCTAAATACATACGCCGTTAACAGTTCGAACCTATCTGTGAGCAAACATCACATTCCACTGAAGGTCTCTTTCAAAAGAAGTATACATTCGAGTGGGTTCACACGTTTGCAAGAAAAAACTTTAGTATAATATGAAATGTTTCTGATAAGAGTATTCTTTTATCTAATATTCTATTGCAATACAAACTAATCATGTTTCTTCATTTTTTGCTCTTTAAGAAAAAACGCAAACGTAAACTTGAACCGGATACAGTATCACTTCGTTCGCTAGAAGACATTGTTGACGATCATTTTCAACGTAAAAAACGTTTGTCTTTACCACGTTTATCATCTGTATCTGAATTGATAAGTCCAATGTGCGATCGTGTTATAAATATGTTACAAACTACGAAGCAATCGTCATCTTCAAATCTTCTTAATCTTCTCAATAACCACAATCATGGATATCATATAAAACGAAAGCCATCATCAACATCATCAAAAAAATCATCACCTAATACAGCGAAAAAATTTCGTGCTGCTTGGTCGGAAACTTATGATGGCGAAAAACTAAAACAAACTATGACAGCAACAGAGATCGAACGACAAAATGTTCTCTATGAGTTATTCTCTGAAGAACAGCAAATGATTGAAAATTTAGGTTTAGCACAACGAGTAATTTAATATAAAAATTCCTTTTTCTTTTGTGGTGTTGATAGAAAGAGATTATTTGCCCTTTTTTTCTTTCATAGGTCTATCGAAATGGTATGAAAACATTAAATATTCTTACGGATTCGGAGTTAAAACAAATATTTGGACCATTGGAAGATATTTTACCTTTACATGAAGGTAAAATTTTATTTAATGTCAATAGAAATAGAAATTGATCTACAGATTAGCTTTTGCTATCAGACCGGTGTCTGAGCATTTAAAAAAAATGAATTGTTCTTTTTTTCAACGACATTGAAATGATATAAGAGTTAGACATTTGATCGATAGTCAAGTAGGTATTGATTCTCTTGCGGGATCATTAAAAAGATTCATCAATTGGAATTTTGAATCCAAGACGATGAGAAATTACAGTAACCAAAAAAGACCCATCAATTTTAAACAACTGCTAATAGTTGACTAATGATAGAAATTATCCGACTGATTAATCGATGGGTAAAAGTCAGATTTCTATGAGTGATGAATGTCTTTAGAATAATTCCGAGATACAGGATTATTATGATATATGTATATATATATATATATATATGTATGTACGTATTAACTCTACAGCCTGATATGACTGGGAAATATGATTTTGAAATTTCATCCAGAAAGAATTGAAGGTCTACTGATTAGAATGTCTAATGATAAGTATTTACATGGACGTTTCTGTGCAAAATTTCAATTCGAGAATCTATTATCGTAGTCAGACACGACGATGCTTAGTTCGAATATACGATGAAAGTGGAATATTTCTGTAATAATAAGTTGCAAGCTCGAGGTCTTTTGAGAATACTTACAACTTATTAGAATCAATATTATGCACATAATTCAGATTTGAAAGCAATAAATGAATTGATGGAATTCCCCTGTGAGCTTGTCCGTTTTGTAACCAACGCAATTACCTAATTCTTCAATGCAGTTTGTTGAATGTGCTGATCATTTTTTATATTAAAATAACATCAACAATCATCATTACATCATACAAAATGATTTTTGATTGTCCCTAGAGCGCATAACGAGTTTAAAATTAGAGCTTTTTGCATCGAAAATGCTAGAAAAATAATACTTATTCCAACACGATAACTGCCTTTTGCTTTAGATCTACTGTATCGTTTAAAGCCAAGAGGAAACTGTTCAATTGATGCTGTTGGTCAAATCTATCTTGAATGGGTATGATTAATCGTATTCAAATAAAATAAAATATATAAACAAAAAACTAAAAATTTAGTTTCAACGCATTCGCTCATCTTATGTATCCTATTGTTCCAATCTCATTAATGCAAAAGAATTGCTCGATGCTAAACGTTGCGAAGAAAATGGTCGCGTTGACGACTATCTTAAGCGCTGTACTGATTCTGGCTTTAGTCGAAAACTTGATCTATGGGATTTTCTTGGTTTGTAATTAGAATGTGATTGTCTTATTATTTTTGAAAACTATAGATCAACCACGAAGTCGTCTAATGAAATATCCAATACTGTTCAAACGTATTCATAAACGAGTGAGTTCAACATGAAAAATGCAATGATTTCAATCTCACATTTTTGAATAAACGAAAAAAAGCAAAAATTTAGATCTTTTTCTTCGAATTTAAATGTGAGAACAGAGAAAATCTAACTGTATTTTAATTGAGTATTTTTTTCTTTTTCTTAATGAATACTCTCAGACATGCAGTAACAATCTATTTGTTTTTATTCTATTTAGACAAAGGATGGCCATGAAGATAAACGAATATTGCTCGACACGGTAAGCGAAAATAATAATTATCAGGTCCAATGAATATAAACGAAATCTTACTTTAGATCAATATTGTTGAAGAACTAATCAATGATGTTAGTCAAGCAACATCGGCTCAAATTTGCTCGAATGTTATCGCAAAGCTTGTCTATACAAACGATGAACAAGTAAGAACGCTGTTTGTGAAGAGAAGAACTGCATTTCTACGAATGCAAACTTTATTCGATAGATAACATATTTGCGATCATTTTACAGGAAATTTCAGTTTCAATAAAACTCGACCGACAGTTAACCAGAGAAGGGCGAAACAATTGTGTCTAATTACTAGAAAAGAGATATTTTCGTTATTGTTGTAAATTTCACTTCAAAACTTTGAATGTTTTCAGAAATAAGTAGCTTTAATCGTTGGTGGAACTCTTCATATATTAGTTTCGATCTAGGAAAAAGTAACGTACGGCTGGATTCGTATCGAGTCTATTTTCCGTATCATTGCGACAGTGAACAATTACGTTTACGTCAACATAATTAGCAGAAATAGAAGTTTAGTCATCTCGATCATTTCCTCTGTTAGATATTTGTTACATATACGTGCAATTTTTCCTAACTTCTAGAAGCATCCATTGATTGAAAGACAAACTCATCTTGTTTGTCAAGGTGAATTAAAAAATAATCGTGGTCAAGTAAGACTAATTTTTACGTTTTGATGTTACAAATAGATTTGATTTTCTTATAGAAATTATTTGTATTTTTATTTGATGAAATACTTTTATTTACACGTATTGCAACTCGCAATGGTTTTAAGTCTTATCAATTAATAAATTATCCTATTCTTGTTGAATCTTTACATATTGAAGATATTGAAGATGGCGTTAAAATACCTGAATTATCTTCAGGAAGTTTTTCACGAACATTGTCTGGGTCAAAACCAGGTAATATAATGATTTATTCTTTCGATTTAGAAGAAGAAAAAAACACTATTTTTCTTTTAATGCAGCTCGAAATATGTTTCGTTGTTCATCACTAGCAGTATCAGATACTAATAATAATCGAAATACTTCAATTTTATTACAAGCACGTGATATGTACGATAAGCAACAATGGTTAAGTGCTTTTCGATCAATTATGATAATGAAATGACAATGATAATTATCAGATTTCATTTACAATTATATTCGTTCTGATATTCTATTTATTAATAATATTATTATTTTCTGTTTGTTTGCTTGCTTGTTTGTCTTTTCTGTATAGAAATTTCTTTTGTTTTTCTTTGTTTCTATTTGTCTTTGACTTTACTATCGTTGGATATCAACGAACTAAGTAATATAGTAGTAGTCTGTTTTACATACTATTGATTCATTTATTTTCTCATGTGAAAAACTTCAAAGATGTCTGTTAATAGAAATTAAATGATATTTACGAATATAGAAAGTTCACTTCGATGAAATAGTTGGCTAATCGTATTTTCAATGGCAGAGAGAATCTAGCTCATTCGAAAAATGATACTACTTCTCTATGAACTATAAAGGTTCTTATCATACGGTTGAATAGTAGTATCGATTATTTCCTATGTAGTTCATACGTTCTCCGATATGAATATACCAATGGATTTCTTGGTAGAGAAGAAGCATGACAACAGTATTGTAAAAATGTTCATTTATGCTATTTACGTCATAAATAAAATAATAAGTAAAAGTACGGTTCATAGCTCAAGTTATTTTCAACGAGATCATACATTTTTGTCATACCGATAATAAATGCTATTCTAAATAGTTTCATTGTCATAATTAATGATGTGTTAAATGAGAAATTCGTTCAACTCAGCTAATCATTAATCGATTGCATTCATAGTATTCATCTTGAATACTCAATATCAGAGCAACATTGTACAAATGATAATTGAAAAATGATCGAAAGCGTTCTTGAATAGTGGTTCTTCGAGAACACAGACTTGTAAATAGATGTCACTAGAATATTATATAATATTCTCACACATTTTCTCTTTTTATCGAGTCTATTTTAACCAATCGGTTTAGTTATATATGGCTTTTTTGTGAATCATGTTTGTCTGTTGAGTCATTATCTTTCAACACGTTTTCGTTTTCGTAGTTTACACAGTTGATAACCATGAGTTCGAGTAAGTAATGAATCTATTTATCTTTTTTTTAATTGATTTTCTTACAGACGGTTCAATGTATCGGCCCCAAAACTGTCATCAACCATCTGAATATGATTCGTCTACAGCAGCACATTATGGTTTGTTTTATTTCACTCTTTAAATTAGCTTAACTTTTATCTTCAATCTTCTAGGTCAACCTAAAACCGCTAATACTTATGGAGGTGATGATTATTCTGTGCCAAAGCCCCAGTCAGCTCCATTAAACAATGGATTTTTTTCATCTCAATCAGCATTTTATGGTTCATCAAATCCAGCACCATCTGGGATGGGTTTCGTATCAAACAACGCATTTCTTAATGTTGGCTTTAATGTTGTTGAACAAGGCATGAGAGATATCACAGGCAAAACTGTTAATATGTTACCAAATGAAGTACGTAGAAGCAAAATCAAAATATCTTCATATTATATCGTTTGAATAATTTAGATGAAAAAGTCTCTATCATCAATAAAATATTATTTCGCTGTCGATCAAACTTATGTTTTCAAAAAACTTTGTCTGATCTTATTTCCATTTCGACCACGCGTAAATGTCAACAAAAACAAATCAAATTATAGCTTTAGACTTTTTATTCTCTATAGAATTGGTCACTGGGGTACAGTGCTGACGAACCAGTACCACCACGAATCGATAGCAATGCTCCAGACTATTACATACCATGTAAATATACAATATTCTTCGCATAAAACTATCAATTATTCTATTTCGCGATGTTTTTTGTTTCAGTAATGAGTGCAATAACTTATGTTCTTGTTGCTGGTCTTGTACTTGGCATGAAAAAAAAGTATAATCCATTCGATGTCATATATAAAAATTGAAACGGATTCGTTTTATTTTTTTCAAAGATTTACACCAGAACAATTAGGCATGCATGCAACATCAGCTCTTGTTTGGAATGTAATTGAAACAAGTATTTTGTGTTTAACATTTTATATCTTTAATATTCGATCAAAATTACGTACACTCGATTTAATTGCCTTTTGTGGTTATAAATATGTTGGCATGATTGTTGCTTTATTATCATATTTCATCACTGATTCGTTATTCGTCTATCGCTGTGCGCTGCTTTATGTTAGCATAGCGTTATCCTATTTTCTTGTATGTATATAATTTACTCGAGCCATTGTTTCCAATTAATTTATTCTCAATAGGTTAAGTCTCTTCGATTACAAATATTACCGGATGTAGGCGGATCTCAAACATATAGTCCAAATGGGAATTCTCGTCGTATTTATTTACTACTTGCCATTGTTCTTATTCAACCATTGTTTATTTGGTACTTAACACGGCATTTGATTGTTGCTTGAAAATCAATAGAAAAATATTTTTCTTTTTCTTTTTTATTGAAGTTATTTTTTTCTAAATAAAAGATTAAAATCATTGTTAAAGATAACGAAGTGACTTTGTGTGATCTATTCAATGTGATGTTTTTGCCTGAGGTTAAAGAACTTGTTCGCATTTCCTCTGTGTCTTAATATGATAATATGAGAGAAGACGTTTTGAGTGATGTTTGCAATATGATTAAGTTTAGAGGAGGATTATTTCAACAGAAAGTAGTTGATGAAAAAAAAACATTAATTATGTAAATTAGAATGTCAGATCACTGTTGAAGTCTGACATTTTACAACAACAGTACAAATTTTAATTAGAGGTACTTATCGATACAGGATTGAGTTTCTAGCCTATTGAGTATTTTATCTAATGACAAGTGTCCTTGTTCTAAGTATGACGGCTTCTTAGTGGAAAACAATCTATAAGACATGTGAAGTATATGGTTGAGTTGACATGAGAATTCAGTTGAGATTGGAATAGTGGATTTAATTAAAGATAGAGAAAATAGAAACACAAGAGCAAGAAAAAAAATCAAAATTTAAAAAAAAATTCTATGAGCGATATGAAAATTTTTTCTGTAAGTTAGATTTAGCAAAGTGTTTTCTAATTGATTATAATTTAGACTTCTTTTTTAAATTGGTGACCAAGACAAAAAAAAGTTTTTATTTCTTATTTTTCATTTATCTCAATGCGCTCTCATATCGCTTGCATGAGTCATATAGTAATCAATGTATCTTGCTGAATTGATACTTGAATATTAAAAGGAAATAAAATACTTCGTTGATTATGTTACATCATCATATGAATATTTATTTATCCTAGTTTTACATTTTCCAATTTAGTAGAATCTATTAAAATCTAATTTTTTTGTTATCATTTGTTTATTAATTTCGTTAAAAATTAAAACAAGACATTTACTTTCCTTCCATATCATTCGAAATAAAAACTCGTTCCAGCCCGATCCCAGCTGCTCGAGATCCGTACTTCGAAATAACGATAGCGAAAATCTTTTTTTTTCTTTGAATATAGAAAGAAAAAAATCAATGTCCCTATGCTCCGAGCATGGAAACATAAACATCTATCCAGAATCTTTGTCGTTGTTCTCTCTTCAATCAGGAAAAATAGACGCAATTTATCTTGGAAAGAAAAGCGGTTTCTTTTGATCTACGTACTCAATCAGACTATCTCATATTACTCGCTAACAAAATTTTATTTCTATGAATCACTTTCTCACAATATTTATAGAATAATCAACAATTCCAAGCTCAACTAGATTCTAAACTCTACTGCCACATATATACAAAAAGAAATCTATACCAAATTTCTTCTACAGATTGGCTTTAGAGATTATCGCATATATTGCCTGGAAAAGATCTTAATCGAATTCATAGTACAGATATCGTCCGAACAGTTTTGTTCATTAGTGTAAAAACATTTAAAGTTAGATTCACAACGATTTTAATCTCAATTGAATTATCGTTTAAACTTGTTTTGGATTTCTTTAAAAAACTGGGTAATTTCAACTTCACATTTCCAGAGGATCTTCATTTGTGAATGCAACAAACATGTGGACATTATGCATGCCACTATAAACGAGACCCCATAGTGAAATCAATCTTCATTCACATGGAAAACTTGAATGAAAATATGTGGGTGATACAGTGAAGCAAATAGATACAAAGATTACTTGTCATGGTTTAAATTCACTATATAAATTACGTGATCCGACTGACTCGTTCTCACGGTTGTTAAGAACCTTTTCAGAATACGTATATGTAGCTGAGCAGAGCTAACAAAAATGCCTACTTTCTCAGTTACAGTGCATCTGATAAACTTAGAATCTTTTCTTAAAACGCTGTTTGGCGAATCTGCAGTGGTTTTCATCACAAAAAGGCTCGTATACAGAGTCAAGGAGGAAACGACGGACTTGAAGTAGAAAAGTACGTGCTTGCAGAGCGCTAAAAACGCTACTCAAGTAGTCTGAAATAAGAACAAGTAGCTTTGCAACTTTGATGTAACTTCAAGCCGGAAGTCCGACGGTTCCCCCTTGTACAAAGTAGTAAAAATGAAAACCGTGAAAATTTTCCATCGAGAAACAAAGATAATCGAACCTATTAAATAAATTTGATATGGATAGCATACATGAATATCGATTTGGATATACCTGGCAAATCATTTATTCCACACGGGAAAATTCTATTGAGGATTCTAGATGAGTCTTACTATTGAACTGCAAATTATGAAGAAAAACAGATTCTAGTTAGATCATCGATCACATTCAAGTGGCATATTCAAGCAGTAATTGGTTAACTACTTACTTTCATAGGAAACCCTTCATTGTATTACATTTAGATGATTGTCTCAAAAGCTTCATAGGAAAAAGACAAATTGCAAATTTACTTCATGTATGTCATGAGAGATGCTTTTAGTAAATTATCTGTTGAATGTGAAATAGCATAACCGGTAAGTGTTGATAAAAAGAAAAATAATTCTACTTTTTTCCTTTATTAAATATGCGAATGTATTTTATATTGAAATTTTGCTGTTTATCAAGCAAAAAGAAAAGAAAAGCAGTTTTATTCTTTTACAATGGTCGGTGGCGGTGTTTCAAATTGTTTTAAACATCGATCTTGTAAATCATATATTGAAATCTCTCGTTCAATTCTTTTGGTATCAAGAGCCAAAAAGCGAGCAAACTGTAAAAAAAATGCTAAAGATTCTTTTTGTTCCAACCAACTTGAGTAATTGTCGATTGAGCAGTGTGATAATGCCGATTGTGGGTAAGTTGCAGGTGATTCAATGCTAGCATTAATTTCGTTATTTAATAATAGGAGAAGTGAAAACAGTGCAAGTGAATACATTTTAAAATGTACTTCTTTTTTCTGAAAAAAAATAGCAATGGTAAAATGCACTGTTTGATTGCATTAATGTAAGAGAACATGGATGGCGTATCTCATTATCTCTTAGGATATACAGAGAGATTTTTCAGAAGTATCAGTATTGTTATTCTTCTCACGACGGAATATTGCTCGACAAGATACTCCCTAGACAAGGAACAATCGTTTACGCGTAGGAGAGACAACACAAGGAGAAGAAAATAATAATAATAATGATAGGTTTCTGAAATACTCAAACTTTTGGATACATACTTATTCACATGCATGAGCTAAGCAAGTATATATGCTACACAGACTAGAAATAAAATCGAATGATAATAATATTGAAAGTGCCCTTCTTTTGTACAGCGGATATGAATGTTTCGGGGGAAAACAACAATGAAATTTCACGATGTCATCAAAGAAACGCGCAATTAAATTATTGATTTTATACGGCCACCCGTCTGGTCCAATTATAGAGCACATATTTGACTTCCCTGTGTTTAATAAAATGAGATTTTTAACGCTCAGTAGTAGTGCATTCTAACTATTTTGCTTAGCATACGGCAATATTTGACATGATTCTATGTCACGTACGGAATGCGCCTAATAGTTTCCTCGTATTTATACTAGGGAATTTTATGGAGCGACATTAATCTATCAAAAACTGATATGCAGCTCAGAAACAGTCAAACACTATGATATTCTCAAGATGTTTTAAAAACTTGACTGAAACAGTTGTAATAAAATATTCACTTCTCTGTTATAATGTTTATGGGGCGTCCTATTATTTTCTATTGAAGCGATGTGCGAATGTTAGTTAACAAAACGAAAATAGATAAATTATTTATTGTTGTAGCATAAAGATCACTGAATCATGCATTTGAAAAAGTCATGATAAAATTAATGACAAAGTACCCTATGCAACTGAGATAATGCTTGATGGAAAGCCCTGAAATCCGGAAAATTCCACTCTAATCTTATTTGCGGAGATTTCCTCCAACACAAATATTCATGTTTGAATGTCCTCAACGGTATCGAAGAGAAGTTTTTTTTTATAGTCGCTTCAGTAGAAGTCTGTATCTGTACAGTCTCCCATAGATTCAAGTATGTTGATTACAAATATCATATCCGTTTGACATCAAAAATGTATTATTCTCTCAAAAAGAAACTATGGTACATGGGTCAGTAAAGGCACAACTCAGATCTCTGTTGTAGTAGTAGCTACAACAAAGGTGCTTTACTAGACATTGAATTGCATGTGTGCTAAATGAATCTCGTTGTTTCATCTGCAGACAGAGTAATTTCATAAAACTGAAAAAATGATTACCTGTAATAGTATGACATCATTGACGCAGTATTTATCAAAAAACAAATCATTTGAGTATTGAGAACTTCCTCAAAGATTCTAATAGAGTGAAAATATTGCATTAAAGAAACCGATTTTCAACGGATTTAAATTAAAATTAGTGAACCGTTAGATCAAAAAGTCATTCTCCAACTGCTCAAAAAATGTGTTATGGTCTCGGACTGGTTTTTAGAAAACAAAACGATGTCTTTTATTATTATCACAGTTAGATTTACTAAGTTATACAGGCCGTTGAGGAATCGAGGATAAGGAGTTTTTATTCGATATCGGAGAGGGAACTCAAACGGAGAAAGTTAAGTTATGAAAAAACAAATGTAAAGTGAGCGTGCGCAAAATAGTTTGGATTTTATGCTGATTATTAGACTAAAAAAACTAGAGTTGAATTTTTCCGGATCCCAGAACTTCTGTCCTCAAATAATGTCTCGTCGATGAAATATGTTTATTTCATTATGTTATCATGATTTTTGAAACACAAATAATTTACTGATCTTTATATTTCCAAGCTGAATGATCTGATGATCTTCTATCAACTATTGTCTAGAGAACTAGCGATAAAATATCTGCCTTAATTCTTCTCGGATTCTTCATTATATATACTCAACTCTTTGTTAGTTTAACAGAGTATTTCGAGATGCAGAGTATGATAAAATCCTTTGACTGTTACGTGAGGCACTTGATGAAGAGTTAAATTGATGTGAAAATTCTTTAAAAATTGTAGTTTTTTGCTTATAAATAAAATTTTATATAATAATCAAGTGCTCAATTCATTACAGATCTTTAGTCATACACTGTATTTGGGGTTGACTCTTCAACCAGAAAATAGTTCATTAATTAAAATTACAAACCTTTGAAAATAATGAGATGCACAATTAGAACAAACAACAAACATTTCCCGACTTTGCTGTAAGAATCACAAGCACCGCCACGAAGAAAAAACTCATTTAACTTCCCTAGTCGAACTTTTTTATTCATGCACTTGCAAAGACTTGAGGTCAAGATGTGCCATAGTGCATGACTTTCTTGCTCAAGACACAAGCGTTTGAATGTTTGCATGAGGTACAAAAAAAAATGCAACTATACATTTTTATTGCAAGTTGAATTATTATGAACGTAAAATTGAAAAAATTCTTTAATAACAGAAACGTTTAGATACAAATTCAAGTACATAAGCAAAAATACCCAGTGCATGAGCAAGAGTATCCAACGCATGTGCAAGAAGTTTAAGAACTTGAGCTCACCGAAAGGTCTCGTGTCTTGCCTCAAGATGTGTCCATAGTTCTTGACTTTCTTGATAAAGAAAGTCAAGAATTGCATGCGCGTGCAAAAAAGAGTTCGCCTAGGGTTATCAATGATGAGATTCGAGACTACCCTCCCACGTATCTCTATCGATTTTCATGTTTTTGATAAATATTAGCTTTTTCTTACAATGAAGGTGTTTCAGGTGATAAGCAAAAACGTTGAAGTTTTTTATGTCAAATGAAAGCTCTTATCATGAAACTAACATGATTGGCGTACCCTTATGGAGATATTCGATTTTTCAGTGAATTTTCTCTACAGGACCGGCTTTCCCAGCAATATCATATTTTCGAATTTGAACCTGAAACTATGTATGCATGAAGGTCTCAAAGAGACTAGCTCATAGAAAAAAAATCAGAAGGTTTGGACAAACCATCTTCGAAATATAGATGCCTCAAGTATACAGCTTCTATAGAAAATCGTCTATATTTTGAGAGATTCATATCTCGAAGAGGGTTTGTCCGAACCTTCTGATTTTTTTTCTATAAGCTAGTCTCTTTGAGACCTTCATGCATGCATAGTTTCAGGTTCAAATTCGAGAATATGATATTGCTGGGAAAGCCGGTCCTGTAGAGAAAATTCACTAAAAAATCGAATATCTCCATAAGGGTACGCCAACAGCCGCTAATATTTTAACCATGTTAGTTTCATGATAAGAGCTTTCATTTGACATAAAAAACTTCAACGTTTTTGCTTATCACCTGAAACACCTCCATTGTTAGATAAGGGCACCTCGTATAAATGTTCTATAGAATCATTTTCTCGTTCCTATTGATTCCTTCTAGTATGAACACTTAATCTCTTCGTCTCATTTTATTATTAATCTAACGATTGCGAACTCAATTTCAGATTTATTAACTTCTTATAAGTACCCTAATACATTCAAGTTATGATACTAACACGCGTGTCTACTTAAGCGCTTTTTTTATTATTTCTATAGCTCTGGCAAGCGGTACACAACTTTTATAACTTACTTCTAGAAAAATAAAAATATATGAATTCTACCAAAAAACAAACCAAATAGCTGATGACTATTTTCTCATAGACAATGAATAGATGTTACCTTTAATTTTCTAAATATTAATAAATGTTGATCGTCATTTGAAATGAATATATAATGCCAAGTATAACGGGCAAGAAAAAATTAGAGCAGTACATCTTATGTCAATCTTCAATTCGTCTGCATTATTATCGATGACGATGATAGTTTATGTTAATTAAAACAATCCACAGGAGGTCTCTTTCTTAAACAACTCAAATTATTATGGTTGATACAAACCAGCTTTGTTTGTTAGTCTCACTAGAAACATTCATATGTGAAACAGGCACGCTGGCCAGTGATGATCCCATAAGATTCTCTTCTCTAATAACAAAAAAACATACGTATAGGAGCACTGGCTTTAACGCTTAAAGACTTCAAATAGTTGAATCTTGATAGACATAGCCTTTTTACACTTGTGTACTTGTACTTAGTAAATCTATGAAGATTCTTTTTGATGGTGAAATTAATTTCAACGACATTCTCTTATGAAGGAAGAGACATCTTCATGAGAAAATGAATATGAATTCGTTATGAACATTTGCAATAGACTACTAAATCTATTCAACATAGAACTCTGTTATATAAGTTCATCAGTACTGAAACATCATTTTTAATACGTAATACAAGGGGGAAACAGCGGACCTGAAGTAGCTAAAAGTATCACTCAAGCAGCGCAAAGTTAGAACAAGTAACTTGAGATAACTTCAAGTAAATGTGAAGTTGAAAATTAGGTGAAAGTAAATTACTTGAAATAACTTAAAGTATCAAAACTTCGAAGTAAGTCGAAGCAGCGTAAAGTAGCTCAAAGTAACTTCAAGTCCAAAAGTCCGCCGCTTCTCCCTCGACGTAATATCATATATCCAATAAAAATGTAGACGACGAAACTAATTACTAGATTTTTTATTCATTCAGATTGTGTTTGATTTATCGAGAATACAAGAGGCGATAATACTTTACGAACTCAAACATTTACCCGTTCTGTAAAACGTTTTTTGACCGAGATATATTAATCATACGGAAAGCAGTAACACAATCGTTTCGTACGAATCAGCAAATACAAAAAACAGGACTTTTATGCCGATCATATGATTCATGTATCTAGATGAAAGTACTTGACAATAACGTGAAGGGCACTTTATTGGTAGAGAAACATTTATTGAAAACTGTTCGTAAATAGAACAGAAGTGTATCAGATAGAAAATTGTCATGTATTGAAAAATAAAATTCACTACTTAAAATACTGACTAAATTCTCATTCCCATTAGTAGCATTGTAAAAACAATACTTCTTGCTGAACAACTTTATTCGGATGGAATTCGAATAGGATATAGTTTACGTTTTCACAAACAAAGAATTTTGTTTGGTTGTATGAACGGAAAATTTGCGAAAAAAATTCGTCAGCGAATTTAATGAATAATAGAACATTTCTTTTTCACAGAAACATTCAGTTCAATCAACATCGATCTACTATGAACAATTAAGAAACATTGTCAGAAATAATTTCAAAGATATTATAATGATGGAAATGCATGCGTTTTACCAATGCGGATTAAAATCAGGGACATAAAAGAAAAGACGATATGATGTACTGCAGCTTCAAAGAAAGTGTACCTGACAAAAGGTTCGATAAAAATAACAGTTCTTCAAAGAGAACACGCTCATTATTTATATAAAAGTTGACTTGACCAATCTATGTCAACTTGAATTCAGGTGTCGTTTTGATAAAATCTGAATTCAATTTTCTCCTCTCGCTTCGCGTGAACATTGGATGGAACGTTCTATCTACTAGTCTGTTCATAAGTCGATTACTAATGTCATTTAGAAAATTTCTACAAAAGGCAGTAAGCAAAAAAATGCGAACACCAATAGTAGATGAATCGTTCACGATTGCATCTGGCCAATATGACGTGGAATACTATTAAATTAAAATTATATGTTTCTAGTGTCTATTATTTATGCCATCCTTTTGTGTCAAAATAATGACGCCATATAGATCTATAGCATGGCTATGAAATTAGTCTTTTTTTTTAAACGTTTGTTATTGTAATTAAATATTCTCTCTTCCAATTCGTTTTCTTTCGAGTGCCATTTGAAGTCGCATGAGATTGGATGGACTTAGTTCTTCGTTTGTCCGCTGCCCTTTTGTTTAAAAATTTAAGTGAAAAAAACAAAACAGTAACTCAAATAAGTAGTTGAGTTGACATATAAGAGGAACTGCAATTAATCAGAAGTATCTTGCTTAGAGACAAAATTCTTACGTGAGCAATTAATATTGAACTCATGCAAATCTTGTCAATAAGTGAACATACGCTTTTCATGAAACAACGTCACAGGAAAATATTTAATTAAGAATATCAATGTACACAACGTCTTCCGTGTTGTGTAAACGGAATGCTTTTTGTAACCACCTACCTAACGTTCAATTACAAAATTACGACTGAATGAAACATGCAGTGTGTAGAATTCTCTTTATTTGCAAATCTCTCTTGGCACTACACATTTCAAGAGCGATGAACTTTGTTCAAGAAAATGACAAAAAGGATTTTGCGGTTGAATTAAACTAAATACTTAAACGTCATAATTTTGTTTTGATAATAATTATACAATTTTTCCGTGAAAGCTTTTTATGAATTTTTAATGAACATCAAAAATCCTCATATCTAATACGCGATGTAATCCGTATTGTCACGTCTTCTGCATTTTCAGACATCTTATCTAAAGAGTATTTCTTGAAAAAGAAAGTGAAGCAAAATTGGCATTTAGATTTCATGTCTTGTCTTTGTTCTAACAGAAGATTAATATTATTCTTGGATTTTATTGTTTAAGAAAAACCGAAAACCTTAATGCTTTTCTTTTACACGGCTCTTTATTTTTATATTTCTTTCTATCATGTTTGGAGATGAATACGTAATATCATCGGTTTACATATCCGCGATTGAATAGATTGATGTTCTGTTTTGAAATTGAATCCAAAAGTTGTCGAAGTCAAAATATTCTACCTTCAACAGATATCAATTTTAGTCCCACCCACATATCTAATATTTTCAGACAATGTATTCAACAGTTGCAATAAAGTGCTTAGAGATTAATGAAAAAAACTTTCCTCTCAATTCATCAAGTATAAGGTCTTTTAGTACCGAAAAATATACTTGTTGCTTTAATGATCAACATTCTTCTGCCCTCTTTGACTTTTTAAAAGTTATTTTTCTCGTTATCGAATGTTCAAAGGTGGAAATACATGAAAGATTTTCTTGAGATATGCACGCGTAAACAATGACATTTTCAGATGACATGAGTCAATTTTATTAATAAACCACAAGATATACTTAAGGAATTCTTCTGAACTCATTCTTAAAATTAAGAGAAAAAATATTGTTCTTTTATCGAAGAACGCATACAAATACAAAATGTCATCAAATATTTCAGATAAAAACCTTCAAACACGCCTGGGATTAAGACTTGTGAAAGTGCAATATGACATCGGTTTTATTACAAACGTCGTTTGAGAGTATTATTTCAAAGAAGAAAAAGAACATTGAAAATAAAGATGTAAACGATATTGCAGCACGTAGAGTCTTATCATATATACTCAAATAATTATTAATTTTCAAGTATTTCATACTTGACGTTTTTATCTTTGTAATTTTATTATGTTCGTCAATTGATTAACAAGAAAATGACCGAAATCTAGAACGAATCGACTTTGATTTTGACTGTTTTTGTTTCTCTATCCAATGACTCAAAATGTAAACAGTGAAAATTTGACATTTGATATGTTTTCATACTACTAGTTGCAATGTTTTGTTAATCAATCAAATGCTCGGATGCATCTATTGTCTTCATCGATATTGATTGATAAGAACAAAGGTGGATTTGCTGTTTTTTTCTTCTTCTATTATTTCTTCTAGCCTAAATAGAGATATGCCTAGCCATGAATTATGTGCAAATAAGAGAAGTCGAAAACTTTTATGTACACACGTTGCCATATTTCTCTTTCACACATACCATTACTCGCCTCCGCCGCCTTCAAGATCATAACCAATGAATCAGTCAACATTGTCAGCTTATATTTTTCTTTTTTCTCTATCGAGTGAGTAAATCTTTTAGAGGAGAAAAATCGAATCAATTTTTTTTCGTGTAACAAGTGTGATTCATCGATTCATATTTATACATCGGATATTTGTAATATACTATTACATTTTAGTTTTACTTCAGAATGAATTTGTTTAGTCGCAAGAGCATTATGGGACCTCCATCACCTTCAATATTAAGATTTGCAAGATCTGGCCCTGAAGCTTTCGCATCGAATTCTGCGTATGGACGAGGATTTTTTGAACCTGGAGCTTATTCAGTTGCTTTAAAACGATGTGAAAGTGGTCATGATCTCGCCCAAAAACTTGCAGATATGTTTGATGAACGTGCACAACTGGAATTGAATTATGCAAATCAATTACGTGCTTGGTCATCAAAGTGGCAGCATGAGTTAACAAAATCGCAAGAATATGGAACAAATAAAACAGTATGGGAACAAGCTGCACGGACAGGTAATTTGTTTTAATTTTTATATCTACTTTTCTAATTGGATCGTTAAAATAGGTGATCAAGTGGCAGAAGTTCATTCGACATTATCATCATCATTGAGTGAATCATTAATTCCAAATCTTCGACAATGGCGTAAAGAGCATTATGAAAAAGGCCTATTGCAGTATAAAAAAACTAAAGAATTCGAAAAAGAATTTATTGATGCTCAAAAATCATGGAGTAAATTATTGGAGAAAATATCAGAATGTAAAACAGCTTACTATTCGGCATGTAAAACTGCTAAATCAGCCAATGATGCTGAACACTTAGCATCGACTGAGCAACGTAAAAAGCTAGCCGACAAAGCTGAAGTTGCACGACGTGACGTTGGTTTTACAAAAACTAAATATCAACAAGCGATTAATGAAGCTATGGAACAAAGACCTCGTTATGAATCAGCAATGCAAGAAGTTTTTCAGCGTACCCAAGAATTTGAAAGGAAACGATTGGATTTTTTTCGAACGACGTACGACGAATATGCGAAACTATTAGAAACAGCGACAATAAATAAGTACGTTAATTGTTTGATAATATATTTTAAATTAAAAATTGTTTTTTTCATTTTCTGAAGTTCAATTTTACAAAAAATGAACTATGATTATACAGCGTCTAAAGCCACACATAATCCTCAAGAAGATTTAGCATGGTGGGATCAAACTTACGGTATGTTATTTATTTTGATTTCAAATAGGATTTTACTGTATTTTTGTTCTACTGTATAGGTACGCAAACAAATAGTCGATGGCCTGAATATGAAGAATGCCGAGACTAAAAATTAATTACTTTTTTAAAATTTATTCATGATAACCTGATAGTTTTACTTCTGCTAATAATTTGCACTGTTTTTGTTATTGTTGTTGTTGTACGCACTGAAATAAAATGTTGAAATTTAAAAGAGTTATTCATTACTCGTCGCTATTGGTTTTGCTTGAAATTAAAACAGTATATTCAAACAAGTAAATATAATGTTTGTTTTTTTTTTATACAAGGAAAGTATGCCATACTGAAAAGTTCCATCGGCATTCATACGAAGATATTTGCTGTTATTCACGTACTATCATGATATTTAAAAACTGAAATCAGTGACGAGTCTATATAGTCTATTTTAGACAAAATCTATTTCGATGACTGTCAAAATGCAGTTTAATAACAAGCGATTATTGGAAATTGATGTACTGGATAAGTTTTTGAAAGAGAAATCTGTTCTAAATTAAAAATACGAAATAGACTGTTGTTGTCACCATCATATTATTGTTGTAATTAAAACGTCACATAACGACATTATAAAAGCGCAAACTCTCACCCTTATACACAGGCCATTCCCTCACGAATAATTCGCTGTGTTTTGTCGTCCATTATTGACTTTCTTTTGCTCACTTCTACATAAGAATTTCAGCTGAAATAATAAAAATGGCTTCACTCCACTTCATATTTTCAAATTTAATGATCCCTGGTTCAATGAAAGAGCTTTCAATTTTTTCATATTTTAATCTAGCCGTTTTTTTTTCTACCCAATGATAATACGAAAAAAACAAACAACGAAGAGCAATACCAATCCATCGTTCTTGATCCATTATTTTCATCGTGCATTAGAGATTTATAGAAATGAATCAGTTTCAGCAGATTTTAGTACACCGTCTAAGAATGCTTCTAGGCAGTCAAAATTTCGTTAGTGCTTATCAAACTTGATAAATGATTCATGAATCGAAATTCAGCACATATATGTCAGACAAACGTTGGGTTTTGGCAAAAAAAAATTAACCATCAGTTTCGAAAATTAAAAACACAGAAACACATTAGAATAATTAAGTGATACTAATTTTAATCTGTATTCTAAAGAGAACTTTTAAACAGCCTTTAGAATTGAAAGAAAATCTTTCTACAAATACTCGATCAAGAAACAACAAATTAAAAAAGGTCCTTGAAAATTTTCGCGTTCTGAAAATGCTTTTTTAATCAGTGTCTGAATCAACATCTGTCCGACAAAAAAAAATGGAAACCACCAAAAGGGCCATGACACTTTTTAGATTCCGAGAATTGTTGAAGTCAATGCCTAACGACCAAACAATAGCAAAAAATAAGACCAATGACCGTTTCAGTTTCGATGCGTCATATTCATGCAGTCACTACAAACATAGTTGATGCTTAGATTAATTGAAAACGGATAATCTTTCTAGTTTTAAAAATAATCTCGTTTCTTTTTACTCAAATGATACGTAAACCAATTTTGACTAAATTTAATTTTAACTTTGATGCATGTGTTTTGTCCGAGGAAAAAATGCATGCAGTATTTTCTCGATGTTATTCAAATAGGGTGCGACTGTAAACACGTCTGAACTGAAGATCAACATGTGGAGTAGCAGCATGGAACTTGAGTGTTCTTATTCAAATAAATCTGTATAAAAATATAATTGAAAATGCGCGCTTTTTAGGACTTTTCAACAATATTATTCTTTAAAAGAAAAAACGAATCTCAACATAAAGATGCGTTCGAGCGCATTTTTTATAAAAGCACAAGTCGTTTACTACTATTTTTTTAACGTTAAGTATACGTATTTCAATTCATTAAAATAGGTATTTTCCAAACTAGAGTATGAAAAAATAGGTATTGCATTCATATTGGAAGGTACTCGAATCATTACTCTATCTTTTACCAAGCGGGCAAAATTTTCCAAAGTCATATCTGAACGAACGAAAAATCGAGAAAAATGTCGATTTGTTGCCCTTGTGCGCTTAAACACGTTTTTATCCAAAAAACGCACCTAAATCCATACGGAAAAGCTTGTCAGCGCAGCCCCGTTGGGGCTAAAATGTGGAACTCACATATTTCGGTCAGTTAGATACTGATCAAATAGAAGTTTTATTTTTTCAGTGTAGTGAGATCATATTTTGTTCAAAAATAAGATAATAAAACCTTTTTAACATTTGAAGTTTATTGGATCTATCAATATGGAATATTACTAGAGAGAACGTATGAAAAACGTTTTGTTTAAAATATGTCAGTATGCTAAAGTGTTTAGTGGTTTCATTGAGAAATATTGTGAATGATAATAGTTTAAACAGTATTTAGGATATAGCTATCAATAATATTGAGAAATTTATATTTTTTCGTATTATCAGGTGAGAAATTGATACATTTTTTCATAAACGAAAATTTGATAAAAGCTTCCCAGTGGATGGAAAAGTTCCGAATTGTAAATACACTAAAGTGAACTCAAGCTCTAAAATAAGGGATACGTGTGAGAAAAAAGATTAAAATATTCATCTGTTTTTTGTAGGTGGTAGAAGCAACGAATGTAATAGTAGCATAAACTAGTTACTAGCTTCTGTAGCGGTAGCATACACTGGTTGCGAAGATCTTTAATAATAAAAAAATATAATACTGTCGTAACTATGGACTATAATAATAAAAATATGCGCTATTATCGTAGCTATGAACTATAATAATAAAAATGACAGATTTTGATGATTAATTAGAGACTAAATCCTAATTATAATGATTTCTAATTAGTGAAACTAGATTTTGATTAGTGATGTGAGTGGTGGTGAACATAGGAAATCCATCTGTATAAAAATTTTATCTAATTAGCGCACCGAAGTGTTAGTTTTTTTATTTTTTATGTCTGTAATGGAGGGGCGGGGGTTAGGTTGAGGGAAGCCGCAAAAACCTAACAATTCAACTTACACTCACTATTTCCATCGAAAATATATGTGAGTTCCACAAAATAGCATTTCATGTGTAATATTTAAGTTTCGATGAAGGCGCACACCCTTTATATATTCAGACGAGATACTTGATAACTTGAGTGCTTTATAATATGTTATTAATATTCGATTCTTGCTCACTTTTTAATAATTTTTCTTTTAGATCTTTGGGTTTGATCTCTTTTATCAATTAATGAAATTACGATCATGGATTCAATAGAAAGGTTTCGCTTATGGGTGAGTGGCAGTTACTTTGAACTTTCAGATGCGTTTCACAATGCACGTCAGCGATTGTTGTCAATTGGTAGCTACAATGTACTGATTTCTAGTAAGTTTTCAATTTAATCAGAGTTGTTTTAAGAGAAAATCGTCATCTATTAATAACTCACGCTTTTATGTTTAGGTTTCGTCAAACAAAGTCTTCAAAGTAAATACAGAATGTGCTGAATTACAAATGCTATTTGCTTAATATCTTCTGTGAGAATATTGCAACTGGCCAACGCCAATTAAAGTGAGTAAAAGTTTTTGTTTGACATCACAGAGAATTCGTTTGAAACAGCTACTTAAAATCATTCCTCTAAGTTACTCACTCCTTAGTTTTATGTTAATTTAGCTATCCTGTTTGTATTGATTAGTCGCTGCTAGAAAGAGATTCCTACAATTCCTTTTAATCATCTTGATTTTTATCTTCCATGGTCATGCTAGATTTTGATTCTCGATCGAATTATTTTCGGGTTTTCTAGTTTCGCTCGTTTCTCACTGAGTGAGTATTGGATTCTTAGACAAGACCGCGTAGTAGTTTCGACATATATGATGCTCAAAACGTAGAGCAAATAACGGATATCGTTTCTTCCAGTCTCGGGGAGTCTACCATCCCCATGTTAATTATTATGAAATACCATAGATAGCGAGTGTTATATACATATAATTATAAAAACTACAAATTATTCAGCATATCTCTCTTCGTAGACATTTGTCTATCATCAGCGAAGGTGAAAAACAAAGTATTCAGTTATTCTCCGACCCCTGGAATTAGTCCATTTTACTCTTGAATCACTCTATTTATCCTAATATTCTCCCTGAAAACGATACTTGAGGTCCATAATCGCCTTCAGAAACCTTCTTATAAACCCTTCACGCAGTTTATGGGGTCTATAATCGCCTTCATAAACCTTATCATAAACCCTTGGGGCAGTTGATGAGGTCCATAATCGCCTTCATCAACCTTATCATAAACCCTTGAGGCAGGTTAGGGGGTTAATTATTGCCTTCATAAACCTTATCATAAACCCTTTAGGTAGTTTATGAGGTCCATAAGCGGTTCCATATTCCCTCTCACAAACGCTGGCGACCATACATGATACTCATAAACGCTTTTCAATAGCGTTTCTGAGAGGGGTTCATGGGTATAGTATTTTAATCCACCCTTTTTAGACTGAGTTTCGAAGGTTATATGAGAACGTTTATGTAAATTATCAAGCCTTTTCAGGGGTTTATGAAAGTGCAACGTGTCGCAATCCCTTCAACCATTTATGAATCTAATCAACCCTTCAATAAACCTTCCAGAAAGCATATTTAACGATAATAAACTGCGTATTAAACCCTTTTTAGAGGGTTTATAACAGGGTTTATGACTCGTTGATAAACGGTTGAAAAGGGTTTGCGACACGTTGCACTTTCATAAACCCTTTTTTCGTTTATTATTCTACGNTCAGTCACATAATGCGAAGACAGGACTCGCTAGAAAAGACCCTGATGCTTGGGAAAATCGAAGGCAATCGAAAAAGAGGTCGACAGAAGATAAGGTGGCTTGACACCATAACTGATGTCATGGAAACAAACTTACAAGAACTGAAGGAAATGGTCACTGACAGACAAGCCTGGCGTAATAACGTCTATCAGGTCACGAAGAGTCGGACTCGACTAAACGACTGAACAATAACAAGCTAGCACATGTTAATAACTTTTAATTCCTTGAAAGAAAAAAGTTATTAATATGTGCTGACTACAAAAACAAAATAGAAAAACAAAAATTTTTGTAATGAACCTTGGATTAAGATCTGTATT